TAGTTACCTGTAAGGTAGTCCTTAACATTATTTTGGGAGGATGGAATATCATTAGCAAGGGATGTCCCAATGGATGAGAACTCATTGAATTCAATAGCAGTATCAGAGGCTGAAAGCAAACCGTCGTTCTTGGATAGGACTATTGGTTTTTTATTTAAATCTTTTTTGATACCAATATTTGGGAAATAGTGCTCCATGTTTTCTTAATGTTGTTCTTAATTACATTAAATTTATTTTCGTAGTATTTTATTTTGACTCTCCTAATTATTTTAGATAGCATTGATGAGTAAGTCTTTGAACATTTTTTGGAGACGACTCCTAACATATACTTCTTCTCCAGATCATGATTTTTATTAATAGATTTAAGTATATCCTTTGTAAGTCATGGATTGTTTAACCTTTCAGTTGTGACTTGTTTTGTTAGCATTGGACAGTGGGTGTTATAGAGGCTCAAGGTTTTCTGAAGAAATGTTTGCTAGGTTGATGTTCACTATGTTACCTAATTCAGCCTCCCAGTTGATATTAACAGCAGCAGCAATAAAGTTGCTTATAGAAACTTCATTGTGCAGCCTAAAGCTTATCTTCATTGAATCAAGAGGTGGTTTATTAATGTTGGTTAGGAGAAATGGGGTGTAATGGTCTGTGGTCCTATCAATGATTATCCCTGAAGTAGGTGCAGAGGTTATGTTAGTCCAGATGTGGTCAAGAGCAGAGGCAGTCGTATCAATGATTCTAGTAGGTCTAGTGATTAAGGGTATGAGGAAGCAGGAATTCATACAGTTGAGGAAACTAGCAGCATGAGGGTTATCAGGCTCATAGAGGTCAATATTAAAATTCCCAGAAATTATCAGTTGGTTTTTGCTAAGTCTGTTAGCTAGTATAAGATTTCTAAGGTTAGAGTTGAATTCAGACACATCAGTTATAGTAATTCTGTAGACTGCTCCCACAGTCAGGACAGCCTCGGCACCCTTGACTCTGAAACGGGCAAACATATACTCTCCACAGGAGTCTCTAGTTCTAATTACTTTTAAGCATGTCAGTTCTTGGTGGTAGTAAAGAGCAGTACACATTTGCAGATGAAGGTAGTATCGTCAGCAAATAGTATGTGTTTGAGAATGTTAGAGACATTAGGCAGATCATTGATGTATATAAGAAATAAGAGAGGTCGTAGGATGCTGCCCTGTGGCACTCCTACGGTTAATGGTAGAGTGGGAGAGGTTATATCATTGATGGCTACATATTAACATTTTTAAATTTTGCCCCGAGGGGCGAGTTTATTGGGCAGCGCTACTCATCTTGTGAGTGGACATACCGCCATAGTAGCATGTACAACACTCCCCAATAGGAAGAAAACCCGCTGGGTTGTTGGTCCTGTCACTTGTACCCAGACACAGCTGGGACTTGCTTAACTGTCTCAAGTGAACAGCTCCTCAAACAAGAAGATTAACATCTATCAACTCTTAAAAGCTTACGTTATCTTGCGGGTGCAAAATGGGGAAATCTTTTAAGAACAGTATCAATATTTGACAAATAGTGTTTTCCTAACTCAAACAATGTGGGGTTTATTGTCCTACACATACTTCTGATTTCTCTCAGGTGTTCACATTCACGTAGATAGTGTTCAAGGCGGTGTCCATCACTCTCACCATAGATTCTACAACTTCTCTGATCAAATGTTGTTTCCATTCCATATCTCCATGGATATTTGTATCCAAGACGGATTCTCGCTATTACTGATTCTCTCCCTCGTCCTCCTCCTCTTCGGCCATAATGATTGGGATTGCCAGCTGCAACCATGTTGTACCATCGTACAGATTCACTGGTTTGTGCTTCTATCCTCCTTTCCTCAGTTACCTTGTCACGGTGATGTTGCCTGACAATACCTCTAATTTGTAGTAGAGTCTTGGGTATGAAGTATTCAATATGGTCTCCTTCAGCGCCTTCAGCAGCCAGCACATCTGCTCGTTCATTCCCACATATTCCAACATGGGAGGGGATCCACAGAAACTTGATGCCTCTTCCCTGATTGGTAAGTACTCTCACAGCTCTCTTAATTTCAACGACTATTGCAAGATTTTCTGCCTGATTTTTACTTAGGCTTTGCAGTGCTGCTTTTGAATCGGTGCAAATCACTGCACCATTAGTGTTCCGTTCAAGAAACCTTAACGCCATAACAATGGCAGTTAGCTCTGCTTGCGTTGAAGAGGCATAGTTCTCAATACGTGCTTTTTCTTCATTTCTGCGTTGGAAAGCATTATCCTTGATTACCGTGTATGCTGCACCAGCCCTTCCATTGACAGGATTAGATGACCCGTCAGTGTAGATTTGATTTAGTTCATCTCCGGCTTCTTTATAAATTTCCTCGAGATACGTGTGCCTCATTTCTTGTGGTATCATGTTGGATTTTTTCATTGCCATTTCATTTATGATGATCTTGCATGAGTCATCCTCCCAGGGAGGTAACCTCTCTACAGGCAGGAGCTCACGGGCTTGCTCAAGCAGGTGAAGCTCTTCAAGGTAGCAGACTGATCTGTGATGCCATTTTTTGCTTCTCCTGTTTCCCCCTGAAAGTAGCACAGAGCTCAGTTTTTTCTTAGCAATATCATTGTAATGGGGATCTCTGGCTATCCTAATTGCAAGCTTAGCATTCAGCTCCTTAATTCTGCTTTTAACACTGGGAAGGGACAACTCCTCTCGTAGATTAGACGTTTTGGCAGTTCTTGGAACTCCAAGAATGATTGTCATGGCTTCATTTTGAATGCTTTCAAGCCTTTTCATATCGCTTTGGGAGTAGGTGCACAGAACTGGTGCGGCATAATCTATGAAGGAGCGCACATAGGCTGTGTACATCATTTTAAGCACGGCAATAGAGGCTCCATGTCCATTCCAGGTCATAGCTTTCAGTGCCCTGAGTCGACTTTTGCATGTTCCTATGAGTTGATTGAGCTCCTCTTTTTTCCCCTTGTTAGAGCCGACAGTGACGCCAAGGTACCGATAGTGGTCAACCCATTCAAGTGTTACACCATTAATTTGCCGTTCTTCATTTGCTCTCCGCTTGTGATGGGAGTATGCCTTCGTCTTGTTTGTGGAGAGAGTGAAACCGAGCTCAATACATTTCCTTCCAAGGAGTTCAATGGACTGTTCAATTTTTCCCAAGGTGGGAGCTTGTATTAGAACATCATCTGCATATCCCACTTGTTGTGTTCCTTCCGGAAAGTCAATATTTGCAATGGCGTTCATAAGCACATTGAATAGTGCAGGGCTTAAGATTCCGCCTTGAGGGTCCCGAGTTCCATATTCATTGTTCTGGAGACTGCTCCATTGAAGCAAACCTTGGCTTTCCTTCCTGTGAGGTAGTCTTCAACCCATTTCATGAGTCTCCCCTTGACACCCATGCATGCAAGCTCGTCTAGGATCGCAATCCCCTGTGCTTTGTCGAAGGCTCCTTTGATGTCAACAAATATAGAGTACCTAGCCGTGTCATTAGCCAAGTAATTAGCATGCTACATATTGGTATCTGTCATTAACACAGGATCGGATATAGTTCAGGGCAAGGCCTTGGATTCCATAATGGTGAAGTTTAAGTAAGAGGTAGTTACGGTTAACAGTATCAAAGGACTTTCTCAGGTCAATGAAGAGTCCAATCGGAAACTCATTTTTGTCAAGGGCTGAGTAAATTATATCAAGCAGACTAATAATTGCATCGTTGGTACACTTTTGGGAGCAGAAGCCAAACTGACAGGGACTGAGTATGTTGAAGTTTACGAGGTTGGAGTAGAGCTGTTTATAAATATTTTTTTTTCAAATATTTTTCATAATATAGTTTTTGTAAATATGTGAACTATAGTACAAACATTGACGTTTAGTTCCTTTATTATGCACCCCATACCCATCCCGTGGGCGGTAGTGGAAAGGGTTACAGAGGCACATAATGGGCTCAGGGACTGAACCCCACAATTCATTTAGCAAGTTACAATCTTGATGAGCTAGTTACAAAATTCAATATAAGTCGTCACATCAACAATGGGTTCGAGATCGACCTCAAGTACAGGTTCTAAATTAAGCAACTGACATATGTGGAGAGTTAGTGTCACAATTGATATGTTTGTCCTGCACACCGCCCCCCATCCAGTGGGCAGCGGTGGATAGGTTACAATCACTCAGTTACTACCTACAGTTAGCAAACTGGGGATATTTGGCTAAAATTTCTGGTAGCAGATCATTTTGAATGAAATATTGACACATCGTTGGTACATTGGTTATAGAATATATATAGGGTACATTTGATTTGATTAGAATTGTCTCTGAATTCGCGTATCTTTTCGCACTCCATCATATAGTGACGGAGGGTGTGCGAATAATTTTGTTGACACAGTTTACATTTGGTCAGGTCTACATCAGCAGATAATGAGAATTCCCAGAGATACTTGTAACCGAGTCTAAGCCGAGCAGTAGTAACATCTAGAAGGGAAGGGAAGGGAATTATCAGGGGGAAAGCGCCCAGCCATTACGACTATATAGCACTTGGAAGGGATCAGGATAAGGATTTGGGATGGGACGGAGGAGAAAGGAATGGTTTCCAACCATTTGAGTAACATCTAGAAGTCTGCTGATTTTATTAACACATGTTTATAGGTACTTTACAGCTTTACTTCATCCATAGTCTGTTGTTTCATCTGAAACAACAGACTATGGTATTAGAATAGAATATTATTTTGCTGAATAATAGAATTTTGCTGTTTTTCTGCCATGTTCCCCCTTTTTTATTTTTATTTGTTCTCAACACATTTTATACTTTAATCTCCATTAGTATTAAGTTTTAGTCTTTAATGTTTTTCCTGCCTGAAACGCTTTGAGTAATAGAGGCTTCAGGCATTGTATGTACTAGCTCTATCTATAAATCTATCAATTTTTGTATCACCTCTTGTATGTATGTACTTTACCTGAATAAACATTTGAATTTTGAATTTGAATAATTATTTGTTTTTGGTTCCTTATAGGTGGGGAGAATGGCAGTTGGTGGCGGGTCTGGTGAAGGCGGTGGTCAGGGAGACGGAAGTGCCCTGTGGTCTATTGTATGGCTTATTATACTACTACTCGTTGGATTCTGGATATCGGGCTTCTGCTCCTTCCTTTACATATTATTCAACATCTTCACTGCATGCATTGAAGGAATGAATGTGAGTTTTAAATCTTTTATTTTTCAGGGGGGAAAAGAGCCCTGTGTGGCTCCCTAAAGCTATCTCGCTGAAATGGCTCCTAACTACTAGATCGCATCAGCCACGGAGTTCAGTTGAGCCTACCGGTGACCGGAGCCAGAACCTGGCCTTCCCCTCAGAGGCGCAGGGGGGGGGGCCAGGTTCTGGCTGCCTTTCCACGCGACACTGCCACCTCACCGGGAAAGGCACCCACAAAGTCAGCGAAGCAACACAGACCACTGCTGGGTTCTAAAGACCGAATCCTCACCCGCTGAATGAGCATTCGTGTGTTCGTTTGTCCTACCCCTCCCGCTTGTTATGGGGAAAGATGGAAGGTCGGAGCTCACACTGTCCACAGGCTGGACAAGTTAGTTATTTCGCTGATGTAGTGTGCTCAACACGTCTGCTGCAGGACACCCGGATTGACTGTAAAGCATGGCTGGTTGCTTTTCAACCAAGTGCCTTTCTTGGAGTTTGTTGTGTGTGGTCTTTAGTGGTAGTGTTGGTATAGCGTGCGCCTGGCTTTTCTATGTTCTTGGAGCTGTACTTGTTCAGGGTTACCGTCCCTGGGTGCTCCCTATGTTTTTAAATATATATATATATTTATATATATATATATATATATATATATATATATATATATATATATATATATATATGCGAACAAGCCTGAATGGTCCCCAGGACTATATGCGAATGAAAACTCACACCCCAGAAGTGACTCGAACCCATACTCCCAGAAGCAACGCAACTGGTAACTACAGGGCGCCTTAATCCGCTTGACCATCACGGCCGTCAAAAGGAAGTGATAGCCGAGGCTATTTGAGCCACTTCCCCGACGGCAACTCGGATGGTAATCTTGGGCATAGCATTTCACCAAATCACCTCCTTCTTTGGGGCACACGTGAGGAACACAACCCCAAAGAATGAGGTGATTTGGTGAAATGCTATGCCCAAGATTACCATCCGAGTTGCCGTCGGGGAAGTGGCTCAAATAGCCTCGGCTATCACTTCCTTTTGACGGCCGTGATGGTCAAGCGGATTAAGGCGCCCTGTAGTTACCAGTTGCGTTGCTTCTGGGAGTATGGGTTCGAGTCACTTCTGGGGTGTGAGTTTTCATTCATATATATATATATATATATATATATATATATATATATATATATATATATATATATAAAAGAGTTCTTACATTCTCGTATAGCCACTAGTACACATAGCGTTTCAGGCAGGTCCTTAATCCTAATTTTTTCCCCGGGATACGACCTTCCAAATCGTTTAACAACCCATTCTCCACATTCTGTGGTGACAAACATTCCCCACAGTTAGGACAGTAAGGAGCAGAAAGGTATTCCATTAAACGTCCAAGAGTTAAGCATGTATGGCCACTACATAACAATGACCTTGGCCAAACTTAGTCAAAGCCATTTCTCCATTATTAATTATGGTGGTAGGAGGAAGGCCAAAGGGATAGATTACCTTTCAGGCTGCTCAGTTTGTTATGCGTAAACCTCTGACCAACGACCCAGCCAGCGGCCTTTTTTGGAAACAGGACAAGTGCAGAAACCACCTTACTGGCAGTGTCCGCGTGCTCATTATCATACCAACGAGAAAATCCACATGAGCCGTGATGAGGATTCGAACCTATGCGCTGGGTATTCCCAGACATACGCTTTAGACGACTAAGCAACGATATAGTAAAAGAATTGCAACCTGAGGTTCTTCTGAACCCACGAGGATTCCCGAGGCTCCCACTGAAGTCGAATCAGGGTTTCACACAATTTCCCCATGCACCTTGGCTTCTGTCATCTAGGAATTCAACCTCTGGCACCCCCTCTTTCAATACAGAGAAATCACAGTAACGTGATAAATCAATTATGTGATAAATATTTTTTCTTTGATATATCACGTTACTCTGACTTCTGTGTAGTAGTACCAATATGGCCGGGAACCCAGCAAAACTCGACTGTCTTAAATTTGCTAGAAATAATACAGTCAATGTTGAATTTTAACTACCACAGGATGCATAGGGTTAAATGACTCTAGGGCTGTGAGGGCACTGTGGAAGTCAACCACAACGATAAAGGAACGTTGACGTCGGGAAAGCAGTTGCTGAAGTGCATATAAGATTGCACAAAGTTCAGCTTGAAGATGCTAGTCTCTGGGGGCAGGTAGCACGTGTAGGTTTAGTCAGGAAATACAACGGAGTAGCCTACACTGTCGACAGACTTAGACTCATCTGGGAAGTGCGAGTGCGAGTATAAAGAAAGAGTTCAAGGAATGGCAGCTGTGTAGCCAAGGCTCTGTTAGCTTACTTTTAAATTTTGTGTAACGTCCCCAGTGTCTGGGTGTCTTGCTTGGTTCACCCTTCAGACCCTGAAAATTCACTTCAGGTTTGGTGTGGTCTGCAGATATTCCCTCCGAACCCATTCTCGCCTTATGCGAGTTGGTTGATTGTTCGTCGTCCGCGCCATGGGGCGACGATCACTTGTTCTTCCTGCACCATATGCTGCCTATTGAGTCAAAGACGTTTACAATCTGTAAAATTTGCACTTTCCAAGTTGCTCCTCTTTCAGACTCCTCCTGATGAGATTCAAACATATAAGGCCACTACCACTTTGAGTTCGTTTTGTTTGCCTTCAGTGGTCTAGGTTGCTTTCCCCAAAGCTGGCCTACCTTGTTTAGAGACACCGCCACATCCCTTCTTCCTTCCACTTCAGACATGAATTCACTCTACCTTTGATCTTCCCTCTCCCCCCGCTTCCAGCCCCGAAACGTTCAAGGGTTTTCGGGTATGGGCAGTATCTTCGTGTCTTCTCGGCCATCTCCGAGGATGACTCCTTCCAATTTGGGCGTGGAGGGAGATGAACCGGCTTGTCTCGCAAAGGTTTTTTTTTCTTCCAGCAAGCCTCTTCTTCTGAAACCTCTCGCTTGGACTCCGCTTATCTATCCTGGGCGGTGGGCGTGGACGCCAGTTCTGTCCCAGAAGCCTTTGTGTTTAGTTATCAGGGGTTGAGAGGATAAAGCATAAAGGACCTTAGGTTTCCCTTGCACCTAAATTGGATCTCTGACACCTAGGAATGAAGGCCTTTTGCTTCACGGGGAGGGGGTTCTCGTAACCCTTTCCCCATCTTAGTGCAGCTCCCCCAGGGTTCGTTTCCATATGCCACTAGGCCCATCGGGACCATCCTTTCGGAGGTTTTCTTCTTCTAGAGTCCCTCCATCGGGAGCTTATGAGGATCTTCTTACATACCTTCTGCATGACTTGGAGTTCATGCAGGTTGGTGTTCAATCCCCAACCGTCCAAGCGGTTAGACACCATTCCTTTCCCCTCGTCTCAAATCCTTATCCTAACCCCTTCCAAGTGCTATATAGTCGTAATGGCTTATTTCCCTCCCTCATGCTCAAGTGGCATAAGGTGGCTACAGTGTTTCAGATGTTTTTGGGTGGCCTTTCTTTTGATCAGCTCAATGACTGCCTGTTTGTTCTTGCTCTTTCCCGGGATGTGGGCTTGGTGCAGTTCTAAACCCTTGAGCCTCTGCTGTCGGTGGTCATTTTCTAGTGGAGGACTTTTGTGCTTGCTCGCAATTTACTTCAGCTGTGTAGTGTCTGGCCCTTGTGGAACTCCATTCTGATTGGCTTCGCAAGATTGTGGCACTAATTGGGCCTAGGTCTGGCGTGCTTGTGTTTTGGTGTCTGCCGTGGTGCCGCCAGTGACTTTGCCCATGTCGTACGCGCCCATACTCTGGGAAGTGGTAGCCACATTCTAGGTTGCCCATCTTGCATGTCAACAGGCTGTGTTGGCCCGGTATTTGGATTCGGCTTGGTCCTAGTCCTCTTATTTGCCTCTCTTCTTTCCTGAGGATGTCACTCGATTCTTGTCTTCAGTGGCCGCCTCTTGTGTGCCAATTTCTGACTTAGTGTTCCTGTGGTTTTCATTCTCATTCCTGGAGGTAGTCTGACGAGGCTGGGGCTTCACCTGCTGTTGGTCAAGGGAGGCCCTCGGTGAAACTTGATTTTGGGTCGTATGGGTCTCCTGTGCCCGGTTTGTCCTCTGCAGGTTGGCACTATATTCGAGTTTCACAGCAGGCTCCTACTCGTCGTGGTTCATGCTGTCCCGTTAATGGGGCGACTATCCCAGTCCCATGATTTGTGGGGTTTTAGGGTCGTTTCGTCTAGTCTGCAGTAGTCATTTTGATGACTCCCTAGGTAATTTTCGACTGGGGTGCTTCCAGCATGGTCGAGAGACTACAACTCGATGGGTATCCCATCTCTTCCAGGTTCTGAAACAGGACTCAGCATAGGTCCAGTTCATCCATGATCTGCTTGGATCAAACCAGTTCATCCTTGATCTGCTAGGATTAAACCAGTTCATCCTTGATCTGCTGGGATTAAACCAGTTCATCCCTTGCCCCACATTATGTATGACCACTTTGGTTCAGGCTCGTCTCATCTTGGATGCAGGTGCCTGGATTCCTTCGTACTTCTGAGATGTATACTGGCACGTCCCTATTCACCCGGGATTCAGGGATTGGTTAGGTTTTTTGTTGGACGTCAAGCCTAATGTTTTCTGGTTCTTCCCTTTAGCTTGAGTCAGCTCCGTGTGTTTTTACCAGGCTGGCTCCAGTTTTGGTCTCTTCTTCATTTGTTGGGGCTTTGTGTTTTGGCCTACCTCAATGCCTGACTGGTGTGGGCCCCCCAGTCAGTACACGTGTCTGTTAGCCAGGGATATAGTTCTTTCTCAACTTGCCAGGTTCAGGTTCTTGGTGAACTGGTGGAAGTCCCAATTGGGACTTACCAACCCACCCATCCCAGATTGAGTGGGCCTCTTGTGCGGCTCTGTCTGCTTCGCTTCCCCTTCCTCTGGTGGCTTTGCCTTGGCTGCAGAATTGCCACCAGCTGGTGTTGAGGCCTTGGGTGACTCAGTGTTTACATGAGCTCTCGTGCAGGAGCCCAATCTTTGTCTGTACCATACCCCGCTGTGCAGGGTATGGTTTCCGAGGCTGTTCTGGATTCTCTGGTTCCACCCCTTTCATCCCCACCGCGAATGTTGGGTTTGGGCCCCGCTTGCCCTTTGCTGGCTTCCTCTTAGTCTTTCGGGGTTTAATTCCCTGGTGGCTTTCTCTTCCCTCGCTCGACATCTTCGTGGACGCCTTGGCTCTGGGTTGGGCCTTCGTGACCGGTGCTCACCCGGTCGACAGAATCGTTCGTCGCTCCCTTCTCACCAGGCCATAATATAGTGCAGGAGTTTATAGAAGTGTGGCATGCCCTGAGGATTCGGATTTCTCCTCATTCAGTGTGCCCCAGTGGTCTATCATCTGAACCACCGGCCCCAATTTAGTCCATAGCCCTTTGGAACTGGACGCTGCAGGTAGCTCTGCTGTTAGCTTCTCGAGGTTTGGTTCTCCTTGTGGTTCACATTTTGGGAATGTCCAATGCACTCGCGGACAGTCTGTCCCGTTTCCATCCCATCTCCAGAGTGGGTCAATGATGCCACTTCCTTCCTTTGGCTTTACAAAACATTCGGGCACACCAAAGTGGACCTCTTAGTCGGCTTGGAATTGAAGCCTTCCTCTTTCCTTAGTTATATTCCCCACCTTTTAACTGGACTAGTCATGGTGGGGCTTCTTATACCTTTTCCCCTGGTCCAGCTGTTGCTCTGAGTCCTGAACTTTGTTTCAGGCGCTACTTGCGCCTGAGTGAATTAATTAATGGTAATTATTAATCCGATTAATGGTGCCTATTAATCTTGATTAAATTACCAATCAAGCTCTCAATGTAATCAATCAGAGCTTTAATATACCAATGTGCTTTAATATATTTACTAATCCCTCTCATCTCATTTTTTCTTGCAATGTATCTGTATTTTATTAATTCTGCTAGAATTTACCTACTTAGAATTATATTAGATTAAGGACCTGCCCGAAACGCTGCGCGTACTAGTGGCTTTACAAGATTGTAAATACTATGCTATGTATTCTCACAAACCCAATGTACCTTCTTGTATATAGATAAATAAAAATAAAATAAAATAAACTTGCCTGATGTCCAAACCCGGGCATTTTCCCACAGCTCCGCCTCTTTCAGATCGGCACAGTGATGTACTTTGCTGGTTCGACCTTCTCATATCTGGTCTTTATGACATGTCTTATCACCATGTTTATGACGAGCAGGTGGCTGTATTGATGGCGTCCCACCTGTGATTGTCTTCTTGGTGGCAGTATGAGGTTTTTGGTGCATTTTTTTTGTTTTTGCCACTTCCTTTCTCTTCGTTGTTGCTCTTTGGTTTGTGTATGTTTAGTTCTTTTCTTGCTTGTTTCTTGATCGGCATCTCATGCTGAATACTGGCACCTCTTCTCGTGTGGCACTGGCAGAGTCACTGCTGCTTGTCTTCAGTGTCAACACGTCTTCGATACTGTTTCGGAAGCAACTTGTGCATTGTTTCACCTCCAGCATGTTCATGTACCGTTTGAGTCTTTCATGGTCCTTGGACAGTGTTTTTTATTTCTTTCTCCTTGGTTTACGGTGTCCCCTTTGGTTTGCCTTTTTTGTTCTATTTTTTGTTGACGCTTGCCTCACTGGTTGTAGGGTTGAGGAGCTTCATGCTCTCCTCCAGATGTGGAGTTTGTTCTTTTGGCCCTAGTGGACATTTTTTCATCTGCAGCCGGCTGGCTTTTTTTTTTTTTTTTTGAAGATATATACAAAAGTTGTTACATTCTTGTACAGCCACTAGTACGCGTAGCGTTTCGGGCAGGTCCCTGGAATACGATCCCCGCCGCGAAGAATCGATTTTACAACCAAGTACTCATTTTACTGTTGAGTTAAACAGAGGCTACAGTTAAGGATTTGCTCCCAGTAAATCCTCCCCGGCCAGGATACGAACCCATGACAAAGCGCTCGCGGAACGCCAGGCGAGTGTCTTACCACTACACCACGGAGACTTTTTGGCCAAGAATGAATCATGCAGCTTCCAAATGAGTCCTTTGGTGATCGATGCTTGGTTTGTTTTGCCTCATGTGCATTATATGCTGTGCCCGGTGGAGGCTCTCCGCTGCTACCTTCATGTCGCTGATTCAGTCTCAGTGAATGCTTTATGGGTGGATCCTGCTTCCTTGGTTCCCTGTTCCTTCTCCTTGATGTGACCGTTTTTCTCCGCTGTGGGTAGGTAGCTTCAGGGTACCACAAGGGGCTCTCCCAGAAAACTAGCATTGAATATAATAGTTGTTTGCAGATGATGCAAAATTAATGATAATGAGCAGGTCAGGGTTAGATTGTGATGCATTACACGAGGATATGGACACACTCCAGAAGTGGTCTGAAAAATGGCTGCTAGATTTGAACTCGGCCAAATGCAAAGTTATGAGGATTGGAATAAGAGTGTGAAGTACAGCAGTATAGGAAGAAGGGAAGACAAATTCCTCAATCAGAAAAGGAGAAAGACCTGAGAGTGGACATAACCAGAAATCTAATGCCAGAAGCCCACATTAGCAGAATAACAGCTGCATATGGCATACTTGCCAACATCCGTGTATCCTTCAGAAACTTAGACAAAGGAGCTTTCCGGCCCTATGTACAGTGAAGTTGAGACCCACTCTTGAATATGCATCCCCAGCATGTTACCTTACCTGAAAAAAAGACAAGGAGAAACTAGAAAAGGTCCAAATTTACCTGAATTTACCCAAGGGCCACTAATACTAGGCCATAGCCCGGGCCACTTGGGCCCTTGTCCTTGTCGAGGCCACTAATACTAGTGGCCTCGACAAGGACAGGAAGCTGGCTGCTTGTCATAGGTCCTTTCCATTTGCCCTAATGATCTTTTCTAGCTATATTTTAAAACCCCAGCATTTTTTTGGCGTTTACGGCTTCGGCGGGTAGGCGGTTCCACGGGTTTACAACCTTTAGGGTGAAAAAGCATCTGTTTTCTGTCCTACATTGTGGCTTGTTGAGCTCGAACCCGTTGCTTCTCGTTTGTGTTACATCTGAACTTTGGAGGAAACTGTCCAGAATCAACATCGTCCAAATTGTTTAGTATTTTGAAGGTGGCTTGTTGAGCTCGAACCCGTTGCTTCTCGTTTGTGTTACATCTGACCTTTGGAGGAAACTGTCCGGAATCAACATCGTCCAAATTGTTTAGTATTTTGAAGGTTATGAGATCCGCCCTGTCATACCTAGTCTGCCGTGTTGTTAACCCTGTGACCCTCAACCGTTCCTGATACGAGATGACTCGGCTCTGGATTTTTATTGCCCGATGTTGCACCTTCTCCAGAACAGCTGTCTTTCTGGAGAGTAGGTCTCCATGCCTGGATGCAATAATCCAGGCGGGGGCGCACCAGAGACCAAATATATGCAACAAGACTCGTTCAGGAGCTGAGAGGATTGGGCTATGAGGAAAGATTGAGGGAACAAGATTGAGGGAACTGGATATTACCACATTGGAGGGAAAGGAGAGATAGGGGTGACATGATAACATAGAAGATGCTAAGGGAAATTGACAAAGTAGAAAAAGCAGTGGTGATCATGATCTTTAATCATGCCAGTGATCAAAGCTAGGAACAGCAGAACAAGGGGTCATCAATGGAAACTGGAGATGCAAATGAGTCAGACACATCAGGAAGAACTTTTTCACTGTCAGTAAATGGAACAGGTTAGTTGCAGAAGTCGTTGAGGCAAATTATATTCAAAATTTGTAATAAAAGTAGGTTGGGTGTGTTTGGTGTTTGCACTCACTCCAGGACTGACTGCTCAAGCCAGTGGACAGAGCAAGATGGTGGAGGGTCATCTGCTCCCTGTGTCTCTGTGAGGGAGGTCAGGTTCTGGCTCTGGTCCCCAGTAGATCGAACTGAGCTCCACAATTAATGTGATCTAATAGTTGGGAGCTATTTCAGGGAGCCACCAGAGCTCACCCCAGAAATTGCCATTTCATTACATTCAACACTGGTTTTATATTTTCATGCATAGATTGGTAACACCATGCCCATATATAATTGTTCACTACACATCTACTATATTTACTTTTCTTTCAAACAGCCAATATGTGAAATTCTCCTGAAGGGCATACAATTTACTGGCTTTTGTGGGAAGTGCATTTCTAAGGGCACACCACTCGGCGAGGCATTCAAGTGAGTAGACACAAGCAATACACACCTAAGAAATATCACCACAATTTGAAAAAGTAATTATGATTTTCCATAGATGTCTCTGATAATAAAGATGAAGCCAGTATTTAGTCCTGATTAGGCAATGTTGATATGCATAACAATATACTGTACAGTAAATCAATTTGATATTTTCTTATTGTATTGTACTCATTAAGCATGCATTCAACTGTACTCATTAGGCCTATTACATGTATTGTGTATTATATAGGTTTATTGCATGCATGCTATTCATTAGACCTGCATATACCCTACTGTACTCATTAGGCAAATGTCACATTTCCTACTGGATTCATTAGGCCAATTGCATGTATCATATCATACTATACTCATTAGATATATGCCATGTATCTTATGTGGTACACTTCTTAGATCTATTGCAGGTATCCTACTATATTCATTAGGCCTCCTGCAGGTATCTCACTGCTCACCAGGCATACAGTATGCATTCTACTCATTAAGCCTTCCATTTTACCTAATATCCAACAATAGGTAAAGTATGGGTTTCTCTAATCATTCAGTGTATGCTCTAAATATTCAACACTGCATCTTGTTTATAAATTTAATTTTCTTTATCACACAAAATATGGGGTTCCCGCTTTACGAACATTTGCCTTACGAACATTCGTCCATACAAACATTCTCCCGTGTCCCCCTTTCATGCATAAGATCCTTTTACTAATTCGCTGGAGCATCCCTTTGAATTTCGCTGCAGCGTGAACGTTCGTGTGGCATCAACATGGTGGAGTACAATATTGTACAAAATCATCTGCATGACCCACTCGGAGGCAGGGCGAGTATCTACTATTTATTTAGTATTTATGCCTGTGGGTGGTTGTGTAATTACCTAAGTGTAGTTACAGGATGAGAGCTACACTCGTGTGTCCTGTCTTCCCAGCACTTGACGGTTTTGGCCTCCTCCACATTCTCACCTAACTTGTTCTAACATACCATTCTGTTTGCGAAAGTTAATTTTCTTATAATTCTTCAGAAACTTTGTTTAGTTAGTTTAAATCAAGGACCTCTTGTTCTTGAAGTTCCAGGTCTCAGTATTCTTCTGTAATGTAATATTTACATGTGTGTTATTTGGTTGTTAAATACACCGAGTTTAGTAATTTTTATATTAATTTTGTAGTCTTGGTCACAACAGTTGGTTGGTTGGCAGTGTAGTGAAGTGTCACAGAAGTTGAGACAAAGCCTGGAGTAGGACAGAGAGCTGAGTGAGATCAGGGATAGAGAGCTCAGATGCAGGGTGAGAGTTGTACAGCTCGGTACTATGAATGCAGGCGGAGTCGAGGAGCTGAGTGCAGGACGAGAGCTTGGAAGTTCGATGCGGCCGGTGTCTGGCTGTCTGCTGTGTCGAGGCTGAAGTGTCTTGGAGTTGGTAGGAACTGGACACGTCGAGTGTTACATTGTTGTTGGTGAATATTGAAGTTGTGCAAAATTTCTCAAGCATCTGTACTGAGCCTCTCTTGAAATTACACTGAAGAGTATTCGTTGTTGGTGTTTTAGATTCAGGTACTTGGAACAAAACGTTCCAAGCAGTACAGGCTTCGGTAAGCCTGTCGTACTCATCTGGCACAGGAGATGTGCAAGAGAGAGATTATTCTGATTGATGAAGATCAAGACACCCAAGAGGTGGCTTGAATAATACAAATAGCTTTACAGTGGCTTTACGAGCATGAATAGCCCGTAACAACATTATTCACTTATCAATTTCTTATATAATCGGTCCACGCCTCGCCATCTTCTAGCAGGTAGAGAAGAAGTTTTAACTGTAATTCGGGAAGAGGTAAAAATTTGTACTTAGAAGATTAAGTAGAAATAACAGACCCATCTCATTATCTGGGATGGGTCATAAGCTAATGGGAGTTTGGAGCAAGTATACTACTGACACAATATACGTGCTACACTTGCCTATCAATTTTATCAATTCTTGTTACTATTTTGTACGTAGTGATCATATCGCCTCTTTGTCTTCTACAGTATCTTCTAGTTTTGGCATATTTAATTCTGCTAATCTCTTCTCGTAGCTGTTGTCCTTCACTTCTGGGAGCCATTTAGTTGCATGTCTTTGCACCTTTTCCAGTTGATGTACTTCTTAAGATATATACACTATAAAACTGCTGCATATTCCAGCTTTGGTCTAACAAAAATTGTGAACAATTTTTTTAGTATTTTGCCACTCATATATTTAAAAGCAATTCTGAAATTAGAAAGTGTAGCATAGGTCCCTCTCACGATGTTCTTTATGTGGTCCTCAGTTGATAGTTTTCTATCTAGAACCCCCCCCCCCCTAGATCTCTTTCTTTATCAGAATTCTTTATAAGATTTCTCACATAATATATAGGTTGTGTGGGGTCTATGGTCTCCTATTCCACATTCCATAACATGGCATTTATTCACATTAAGTTCCATTTGCCAAGTGGTGCTCCATACACTTATTTTGTCCAGGTCATCTTGAAGGGCATGACAATTATGTAAGTTTCTTATCTTCCCTATTATCTTTTCATCATCAGCAAACATGTTCATATAATTCTGTATTCCATCTGGTAGATCATTTATGTAGACAATGAACATTACCAGTGCAAGAACTGAACCGTGGTGCTCCACTTGTGACATTTCTCCAGTCATTGCCTCTGATTACTGCCCTAATTTTTATGGTAGAAAATTTTTCATCCATGTTAGAAGCCTACCAGTCATGTTTCCAGTACGTTCCAGTTTCCAGAACAGCCTCTTATGTGAAACTCTGTCGAAAGCCTATTTTAGATCCAGATAAATGGAGTCAACCCAACCATCTCTTTCCTGTCAAATCTCTGTGGCTCGATCACAGAAATCGAGCAAAGAGGTGGGTGTAATGAGTAAATTCATTACACAGGATCTTCCAGATCGAAAACCATACAATCTGTCTGCTGTTATGTCGTTTTTCTCCAGGTGTTGTACCAATTTAGTTTTAATTATTTTTCCAATATTTTGACTATTACACCTGTTAATGACTTTTTCCAATGATTTTTGACTATCAACCTGTCAATGATACAGGTCTATAATTGAGGGGGTCTTCCCTGCTGCCACTTTTGTAGATTGGAACTATGTTAACCTTTTTCCACACATCTGCTAAAACTCCTGTACTCAGAGATGCCTGAAAAATCAGTTGAAGTGGAATGCTGAGCTCAGGTGCACATTCTCTCAGAACCCGCAGTGATGATCCATCTGGACCAATAACTTTGTTTTTACTTAGGTCCTTGAGCATCTTTTTTTTCACTTCATCTCTATGGGCTTTATGTTGTTCTCTGGAATTCTTATTATGTCGGGTTCTATGTCATCACATTACAGTACTATGATTTCTGTGCATTATCATCATTACTATTCTGTGTTAACAATATTTTGTTTAATACTGTACTGTCCCTGAATTTAACAAAATTCAAGAACATTCAGAGCAAAGATAAGCGATTTATGTACAGTATACTGTACAGTATTACTGACCAAAAGTATTGAACCCTTCATGTGGAAACTTGGTTACAATTATAGTATTGTACTATTTTAATACAAAATAGAATGTCAAAGACTATTATTACAATCACCCTGAGTATATATTTATTTATAAGTTTACAAAAATATATATATATATATGTTATTCATTGTTAAATTAGTTTGTATAATTTGTTACCATAAATATACATACAGTATCTCAAAATTTATAATGTATGTTCATTAGTTGTAAAATTATACTAAATTAAGAGCAACTAATATTTAACAGTAAGCCACTCTTCAAAAGTCTTTAACAGTCATGGTGTGGTCACCATTTTCAATAAGCTATACAGTGCATTCCCCTGGGCTCTAGAAGACTCGAACCGCAGACCCCACGCATGTGAGGCTGAAGCTCTATCGACCATCACCAGTCTCTACCGACTCTATCACCAGTCTCTACCGGCTCTATCACCAGTCTCCTAGAGCCCAGGTGAATGGAATGTTTATTTCCATGGAAGTGTGGATGACAATTTATTTTAAGCTATACAGTAATGTAAAATAACAGGCAGCAATAATTTTCATTCTGAGGGACAGGAAGCTTATACCGAGGCATACTGATGTACCCACAGTCAACTACTAACAACCCACAAGTTGCCTACCTCTAGTGTACCCTATTTTACTGCTAGGTGAACAGAAGCATCATGTGAAAAGAAACTTGCCCAACCATTTCTGTCCTGCCCAGGAAATGAACCTGGGTTGTGGTAATAATGTAAAATAGCAGGCTATGCTGTTGCAACAATGTAAAATAATGGGCTATGCTGCGGTAACCACTTAATAATAACAGTGCTAACAACTGACCGACTAGTTATTCTATATAGTGTTCATCAATAAATACTGTATAAGCCATTTAACCCCTGCACTGCGCACCTGTTTTTGACAAAAACTTCATAGTGCAATTGTTAAGGACATATTTTTGTTGATTTTATAAATGTTCAGGTAAAGTTAGTGTCAAAATGTTTCCAAACTCAACTACTGTATTTTCATTTCAAAACACAGAGTGATGAAAACATTAAAAAACATTAATATATAGCCTAATTAAAAAAAACGGACAACTCTCAAAACAGCATTTGTCGTTTGGTGCAGTGCAGTGGTTAAGCTTTATATGAGATGCTTGTTTACATAATATAGAACTTTTAATTGATGTACTGTACAATTAATTGTTGAATGGAAGACTAGAAAGATTTCTTTAAATAAGAGTGCATAATATACAATAATACATTTTTTTTTTATAAGCACGCGACAGTAAAATGTTACATGATGACTTTTTAAAACCATCCATTCTAACATCAATAATCTAGTAAAGTAATTATCAAAAGAAGACACCAAATAATCTAGTAAAACAAAACCATGTCTAACTTTACCTAACATAACTGGTTCAGTAACTCCTGAGAAGCATGGCTAGCTGGAAGGCATTTACTACCTGAGTTCCAATCTGCCAAGCTCACTCATTAGTACTGCTTGACTATTTTTCTTTTATAACATCTATTTATACATGTGATAAAGAACATATGTGCAATGTTGTACAATAAAAATGGATTATAAATAGCTACTGTATTGGCATTTTGTATTTAAGCAAACAAAAAACTGAGAAAAATGCCATTGTAAGAGAAAGTCCTGTAAACATTACAAAAGCTCCCAGAGAACACTTCTTAATACTGATGGCAACTATTATTCATCATTTTCCCATAAATATATAACCTCTACCTTATTCAATATGTGTCCAAATTGATTTTGGCATATATTGTTGAGCTTGTGCATATCAGTGCATTTTTAAAAGCTAATACAGTCTGTGCAGAATTTGAATGAAGACACTACAGAAATTGAGTTTTGGAAAAGTTATACAATGGGGCCTCGACTTACGATGGTAATCCGTTCCCAGAGACGGATCGCAAGTTGAAATATCGTTAAGTCGAAGTGATTTTTCCCATAAGAAATAAAGGGAATTGAATTAATCCGTTCCCCACCCTCCAAAATATTAACTTACAAATACATTTTATACCGAATACAATTTTGTTCTCTAACTACAATACAGTACAAATGTTTATCTTACCTTTATGGAGGACTCTTGATGGCATATGGAAGATGGTGAGGAGGGGATGAGGAGAGGTGTTACTGTTTGGACGGGAAGTCCCCTTCCATTATAACATAAGGCAGTGATGACTTTACTGGGATACACTCTCTGGCATGTTTTGCCTGCACACCACTAGGACCTGCTTGTGGCTCACTGCTTGCTTGTCTTGCTAAGAATCTGTCTAAATACACTTGTTTTTCCCTACATTTTAACACTTGTCTGTAATAAGACATCACATTATTATTTAAAAGGTCAATGCAATGGCCTGCTACAGCTTTATCTGGGTGAGTTTTTTCAACAAAACTTTGCAGTTCTTCCCATACTTCACACATTTTCTTAATGAGGACGGGATATCCTCTACTGCCTCAACTCACAACTATTTTCTTAGGTTGAACCTTACCACTGACTTTCTGGGACCCATGGCGTGATATATAATAATCAGTTTTATGTTCAAAAAGCAAAATATCACCACAAAAACGGAATTTCTTATAGGCATGATTGTCACTAAGCGGGCAGCTCTAGTAAACTGAGGCAGGTTGGCCCATGTGACCGGGAACCACGCGCTCGGTCGACCCAAACGTGTATCAACAAATATCGTTAGTCGACGACACTATCGTACGTCGAGTCGCATTTTTCTATGAAATTTACATCGTAACTCGAAATTATCATAAGTCGGGGCAATCGTAAGTCGAGGTGCCACTGTACTGTAACTATATAAATGTCATCCAGAATGCTGTACAGTACTGTATAATTCTGGTCCCCATATTATATAGAAGACACCAGTTCCACCAAGAAAATTCAATGTAGGATGACTAGTCTAATCACAGGTATTAGAGACTGCCCATACATGGAGATGTGCAGAACGAGGGAAGACGTGATGTGGGTTTTAAAGTGGACGATGGGTGTCGGCAGTGAAACTGTGGGCTGGAGAAGTTTGGAGGGGAATATGGGGAGGTGCTGGTTTGGTGGTGCGACAGTGGATAACTGGAGTGACTTACTGGCTTGGGGAGGTGCTGGTTTGGTGGTGGGACAGTGGATAACTGGAGTGACTTGCTGGCTAACAGATTGGAGGTAAATGGGGTGGTCAGCTGTGTGAATGGGCTTGGGAGATGCACGGAGGTAAAAGTCTAGATCAGCGATTCCCAACCAGAGGTCTGTGTCTTGGAGATTCAAGAGATTTTGCAAATACACGAAGAAAACATACAACTTTCCACCTTCTTGTAATTAAGTAAAAATGTCAAATTATTAAGATTTTAATGTAAACTATTAATAAAACAATGAAGAATTTTTAAAATTTTGGCTGCTTAGATGTTCACATAAGTTATTATTTATGCATCAGATGTTTTATTTGTGTTAAAAAATTAAACCAAACTTTCATATTAAATTAGGAGACAATTAGTATCAGTCATTATATTGCAACTTTAATTATTTTCAACTGAGAATGCATTATAAAACAATAAAATGGAACTTGTATTTACATTAACAATTTTGTAAAACACAATTACTGTATATTAATACAAAACTATTACAAAATATATATACAATGTTTGTAACTAGCAAGTCAGATGTAGAATAAAAAAAATTTTGCCATTTTTTACTAACAGTAAATAGGAGGCAATAAATACTCAACTCATACTTTTTAATAAAGTATTACTAATTACTATTTATTAACCTAGCTGCCTTACACGTGTCTCTTGTAATTTACCCATCGAAGCTAATGTGTGTTAGCCAAGTAGGGGTTTCCCCCAGATTTTATGAAATATTTCAGGGGTTCCTCTTACCAACCAAAGTTGGGAATCGCTGTACTCTAGATGGAGGCTGCCCAGAGTGTACGACCTAAACCACTGCACTGGTTTAGTCTTATAGACTTTAGTTTAGTCTTATACTGTATTTGGCAACAGGGTTGTAGACAAGTGGAATAAATTACAAATTAGCATTATTGAGGCTAGCAATTTAATGTTTTAAATATAAAATTGATAGTTACAGAAGAGAAAATGGCTGAATCTAAATAAAACCTGCCTAATATGGGTCAGCAAGTCTACTGCACTGTTCCTTACTTCATAACAAGATAAGGTTATTCAAATATCTACTTTTCAAATCCTTTAAGTCTAATTTCCATCAATATATAAGCCTTCAGACTTGGATCTGTGACTTCTCGCTCAATAGCTTTTTGTGCCTCGCCTCCTCCATTACAGTAATATTTTGCAAGAGCATCAGCATACTCGATCCACACGCAATTTGCACAGCCAGACATACAGCAGTTGGTCGGCACTACAGGCGGAGGAGAAGCTAGCTCATTGGCCCGAGGAAACAAATGTGAAGGCTCCGTTAACGATCCAATTTTTTTAGATTGCAAACCCTTATGACCTATTGCACTCTGGCTCATACGAAGAGTTTTTTCACTGGAGTAACTATTTCTAGTGTTGCTACTAGTAATTTGAGAAACAGGCTTATGAATATCTGTTTCCTTTATGGATAAACCCATAGATGAATTGCGTGTGCCATCATTGCCTTCATGGCGACTACTGATTTTCTTCAAGTGTAAAGGAACCAATAACTTACTTACATGACTTAAATGTTCAGGATATTTAGTCAATAGCTTTTGCAGAGAACATAATTTTGACATATCTTTGGCCAGTACTTCATAAGTTTCAAGTTGTAATTTCTGAAACAGTAAAAAAAAAAGAATAAACAATTACAGTATCCTTCAAACACCGCACATTACTTTAAAAAACATTCATAACTTAATTGGGCAAAAATAAAAGACTTAGTGAAATATTTATGCCCCATTGTAAGCTGCTTTATTTGTTTGCCCACTAGGAAATGTCTGTTCAAAATTAGTAGGCCATACCAAAAATTTGCAACGTTCGTGCATAACGCAAACGATTATATTCCTGGAGTATGTGCCAGAGGATCATGAAATATGTGGTCAAGGCTCAGAGCTAATCCACTATTGTGCACAAAAATGGCACAGGACAAAGACCAAGTTGAGAAAATCAAAGGCTACACAGAATTGAACACACATGTGAAGTTAAAGTATATATGTTAGCACAGGCCCAATATATATATAAGCAGTCTAGAAACAATGTTACTGAACGATATCAAGTTAACTTGGCTTAACAAAGCTATGGAGTGGTACCCACCTACTCGACTGCCCCAAATATAATTCAATATAAACACAGGCAGAATGTGAGGTGGCTTGGGAGCTATGATGCTAAGAGATGTGCATGATACTGCCACTTGGGGGTGGGGGCTGCAGATAACTTGACAGACAATCAAGCAGGTGGTGGGAGCCCTTCTCTAGCTGCCCACATACTGTTGCCATGAGAGGACTAGAAAGGGTTTGATTCCTTTTTACCACTGTCAGTCATTTTGGGCTGGATTGAGTGATCTCCAGTGACCTTGTAGATTTGACTGATAACTCTGTGGTTCCAATGCCAGAATGTTGTCCTACCTGACTATTAACCAATCCCAATTATATGACACATGGATATTACAGAACCTAACTGACAGAAAAATGAGGACAGTAATTAGAGACAATGTATCAGACTGGAGAAGTGCTACTAGCAGAGTACCACAGGGTTCAGTTCTAGCACCAATAATGCTCATTATATATATAAATGATCTACCTGAAGAATACAAAATTATATAAACATGTTTGCTGATGATGCCAAGCTAATAGGGAAGATAACTTAGATGATTGTCATGCCCTTTAAGAAGACCTGGATAAAATAAGTGTATGGAGCAACACTTGACAAATGGATTTTTATGTGAATAAATGCCACATTATAGAATGCAGAATAGGAGAACAAAGGCCATATATAACCTACAAATTATGTGAAAAAGCTTTAAAAAAAAAAACTGATAAAGAAAGAGATCTAGGGGTGGTTTTAAATAGAAAACTATTTTTTTTTTTTTTTTTTTTTTTTAGATATTATACAAGAGTTGTTACATTCTTGTACAGCCACTAGTACGCGGAGCGTTTTGGGCAGGTCCCTGGAATACGATCCCCGCCACAAAGAATCGTTGTTACAACCAAGTACAGTACACATTTTACTGTTGCGTTAAACAGAGGCTACAGTTAAGGATTTGCGCCCAGTAAATCCTCCCCGGCCAGGATACGAACCCATGCCAAAGTGCTCGCGGAACGCCAGGCGAGTGTCTTACCACTACACCACAGAGACTGTATCACCTGAGAACCATATAGAAAACTGTGTGAGGAGTGAATGCTATGTTTTCCAACTATAAAATTGTTGTTAAATACATGGATGGCAAAACATTAAAGAAATTGTTCATGAATTTTGCAAGACTAAAGTAAATATGCAGTGGTTGTATGGTGCCCATATCTCAAGAAGTACATCAATAAACTTGAAATGGTGCAAAGACATGCAACTAAATGGCTCCAGGAACTGGAAAAACAAGAGCTACGAAGAGAGATTAGAGGAGTTATATATTATACCAAAGCTAGAAGACAGAAGAAAAAGAGGAAATATGATCCCTACATACAAAATAGTAACAGGAATCGACAAAGTTGAAAAAATTAATTTTTTATAACTAATACTTCAAGAACGTGAGGACATAGGTTCAAACTTAGGAAACAAAGGTACCAAAAAAAATAGAAAGTTCACTTTTGTAAACAGTGTTAGATGATTGGAAAAAGTTAAGCGAGAAGGTGGTGGAGGCCAAAACTGTCAGCACAGTAGTTTCATCATATAATGTCATATATCAGCATATATAACGAAAAGAGTTCTGGGAAGACAGGACACCACGAATGTAGCTCTCAACCAGTGAAACTAAAGTGCACATTATATTTTCCTTACCATTTTCTCGTATAAAATTGCATGTTATGATTTCAGCTATACTGTACAGTTATATTAAATTGCAGACTACTATTCATAGCTTATTATACCTTTCAAAATGCTCCTTAGTATTAAGAAAAAAAGCAGATACACTGAATTTTGTTTTAGTTTTTGCAGTGCAACTGTAAATAAGCTTGTTTTATTGTCTCTCATCACTGCATACTGTACATAATAAACAAGCAGTCCAAGCTTTTCATTTTTTATTTTATATCCTTTATCTTCTCTTCACCTCTGTTAGATATTGCTACTGTAAAATGTAATTACCTAAGTGTAGTTACAGGATGAGAGCTACACTCGTGATGTTCCCGTCTTCCCAACACTAAGGCTTTGAAACTACTGATGGCTTTGGCCTCCAACACCTTTTCACATAGCTTGTTCCAACTGTCTACCACTCTGCAAAAGTGAATTTTCTTGTATTTCTTCATCAGCTTTGTTTAGTTTAATTTTATGACCTCTTGTTCTTGAAATTCCAGATCTCAGGAATTCTTCCCTATCAATTGTGTTGATTCCTGTTACTATTTAATACATAGTGATCATATCACCTCTTTTTCTTCTATGTTTTAGTTTTGGCATATTTAATGCCTCTAACATCTCCTCTTAGCTCTTGCTCAGTTCCGAGTCATTTACCAATACAGTACTTGCATGTTTTTGCACCTTTTCCAGTTTGTTGATGTGCTTCTTAAGATATGAGCACCATACAACTGTTGCATATTCCAGCTTTGGTTTCATAAAGATTATGAACAATTTCTTTAGCATTTCACTATCAAAAAGCAAATCTGAATTTAGAAAGCATAGCATAGGCTGTTCATTCAATGTTCTTTATGTGGTCATCAGGTGATAGCTTTTTATTTATAACCACCATAGATCTCTTTATCAAACATTAAATTTCACTTGCCAAGTGATGGTCAAAACACTTATTTTGTCCCAGTCTACTTGAAGGGCATGACAAGGGCATGACATTTCATCTACGTTTCTTATCTTCCCTAGTTTCTTTGCATCATCAGCAAACATTTTAATATAATTCTGAATTCCTTCTGGTAGGTCGTTTATGTAGACAATGAACATTACTGAATCTTGTTGTACTCCATTCGGGACATTTCTCCAGCCCAGTACATTGCCTCTGATTGATGCCCTCATTTTTCTATCAGAAAATTTTTCATCCATGTTAGAAGCCTCACTGTTAATCCTTCAGTATGTTCCAGTTTCCAGAACAACCTCTTGTGTGGATCCCTGACGAAAGCCTTTTTTAGGTCCAGTTAGATGCAGTCAACCCAATAATCTCTTTCCTATAAAACCTGTCTCTCTATCATAGAAACTAAATCAATTTGTTACATAGGATCTTCCAGATCGAAAACCATACTGACTGTTAATTTAAAAAAATTCATATTTCATTTAAAACAAAATTAAAATGAGAAAACACAAATCCATATAGTACCAATAGAATTAACTGTTGGTTGTATCTCTTGGGAACACTGTTCACCTTTCAGTTTCCTATGGTGCTACAGTCTTCTTGGCTTTATTACTGTATGTATCTTTATGTAACAAATAAAGAACCACTATTATGTTTTGTATATTTTTAAATCAAATCCTCTTCATGGCCCCTACCGATTTTCTCGATAAGCCAGAGTGCATGGGGGCAGTGTTTGAAACCCTCATTGGGCTTCATTTATAAGCATCAGGACCCCTAGAGAATTCAGTGGAATATCAGGTTGCATTGTTTTTTGACCGTGTAGTGGTTTAGGCTTGGGAATACCAAGTGAGCAAGTTCGAATTCTCCTCATGGCTCCAACTGATTTTCTCATTATTATTATTATTATTACTATTTCTAATTGTTGGAGACAGGAAGCCTGTTAGACTTATTGAAGTCCCTTAAAGCCAACTAATGACTGTCTCTAGGATGCAATCCTCAACAGTCACCAAACTTCCGGGTACCTTTATATATATTTATTTATTTATATATACAGTATACAAGAAGGTACATTGGGTTTATGAGAGTACATAGCATTAAAGTTTTTAAATTCTTGTAAAGCCACTAACACGCATAGCATTTTGGGTAGATCCTTACTCTAACAGATAATTTTAAGTAAGTAATTTATAGCAAAATTTAAAAAAATAACAGATACATTTTAAGAAAATTTGAAGAAAATTAGTAAGTACATTATAGTAAAATCTGAGGATTATCAACAGGTACATTGTAGCATAATTTGAGGATTATTTCTAGGTACAGTGTAACAAAATTCGTGTTCATATGACATCCATGATATAAGATGATGGCAGTGATTACAACGGTGAAATTATATGGCTTAATCACATATTTTGAGATAGCACATGACAGTGGGAGTTTGAAGCACTAGGTGGAAAACTATGAGGATGAAATTAGGTATTTTTTGGTTTTACTTTTGAATAAGGCATGGGTTGGAGAGCTTTTTCATTCACTTGGGAGTGTGTTCCATGGACAAGGTCCCTTTATTTGCATAGTGTTTACACAGATTTAGTTTGACTCTGGGGATATCAAAGGGATATTTATTTCTGTTGTGGTGATTATGGGTTCTATTACATCTGTCAGGGAAGTTTCAGATTAGGATTTGCATCTAGAAACAAGGTGTTGTACATGTAAATGGCACAAGAGAATGTGTGGAGTGAGTTTATGTTTAGCATGTTCAGGAATTTAAACAGGGGGGCTGTATGTTGTCTGAAAACAGAGTTTGTTATTGTTCTGATAGATTTTTGCTGGGTGATGATGGGTTTGAGGTAGTTTGCAGTTGTTGAACCCCATGCACAGATACCGTACATAAGATATGGCTAGATTAGCACGTAGTATAATGAGAGGAGAGTAGAGGTTGGAACATAATATCTAATTTTAGATAGTGTACCAACTGTTTTTTACTTTTTTTGGTTGTGTTGTATGTGGGTGCTAAAATTGAGTCTTGTCTATGTATAGGCCAAGGAACTTTCCATCCTTTTTATTGCTGATGTTAACATTGTCTATCTGAAGCTAAATTGCATTAGTTGATTTGGTTTCAAATAAAATGTAGTAGGTGTTTTCTATGTTTAGTGTGAGTTTGTAGGTTGCCATCCAAGAGTGGACTTTTTTTTAATTCGTTATTTACAACAGTGTTTAGTGTGTGTGGGTTAAGGTCTGAGTAGATAAAGGTAGTATAGTCAGTAAATAGTATAGGTTTAAGAATGTTAGAGTCATTAGACAGATCATTAGTGTATACTGTATAAGAAATACCTATTTACTGATAGTTTAACAGAGGCATCAGGTGAAAGGAAATGTGCTCATCTATTTCTGTCCTGCCCGGGGATTGAATAAGGGATCCTCAGATGTGAGTCAAGAACATAGCCCCTGTTCTATCGAGATATATAGTCAGATATTTGAATACGGTACTTTCTTCAAGGTGGACGTACCCACGATGTAATCACTTCAAAATTATTACATTTTCAGTGCTATTATCTACTCCCCTATCAATTGTTGGATAAGATTAAGGTTTTGTTACATTAGGTTAGGTATGGTTGGGTTAGATTAAAATAGTTTAATATTCACAAACGTGTGAAACAAGGGTCCAGGTAGTACAGTTTGGTTCGTTCTCAACTTTCAATTGAGAATTCCAGACAGAAATTGTTTGGCGCATTTCATATCACCTAATGCCTCTGTTCACCTAGCAGTAAATAGGTACCTAGGAGTTAGCCAGCTTGTTGTGGGGTTGCATCCTGGGAAAGGTCCATAATTTAACTGTGGGGGAGAGGGGGACCTCGATATAAACCTAACATGTACTGTATGTATATACTGGCTTCCTGTCCCCCGATACAACAAATTGTTATTATTATATTAAATTAAAAAACTGAGTACAGTATTCCCTACAACTCTGAGATATAGAAAACATACATGGTGGGTCTTTTTACAGAAAACAATCTCACTACTGTATATTCTTTTTATAATTTAAACCCTGGATTTATAATACATTACAGTTATAACTTCAGAAGGTTCTCTATATAGAACAAAGGTTCATTTCCCTGTGTACCAGTAAACTATTATTGGAAACGTAATATGCTTTCAGACCATCACAAATATTTAAAGCAATGGATAATAAAGCTGTCGACTGAACTAGTCGACTGCTGGTTCCATCCAGAGGTCGACCCCTAAAGACAACAATTTTAACATTCTGTTCATTCAAAACTGTTATTTTTCATATATAAATTAATATTATATATGTATATTGTGCATATTTAGGCATAGGTTAGGTTAGGTGTTTAGGTTCTGTTTGCGATTATTTGTATTTGTAGTACGTTGGTGAGGCATTTACAGCGTTGTGGTTCGAACAAAAGTCGTCAGCGAAGCACTTGTTCCAGAAATGTTCGGGGCCTGACAGCTGAGTGAACAGCGTTTCAGATTCGTAGTCCTGAGGTTCCGGGTTCGATCCCCGGTGGAGGTGGAAACAAATGGGCAGTATTTCTTTCACCCTGATGCCCCTGTTCACCTAGCAGTAAATAGGTACCTGGTAGTTAGACAGTTGCTATGGGCTGCTTCCTGGGTGTGTGTAACAAAAAGGAGGCCTGGTCGAGGACTGGGCCGTGGTGACATTAAGCCCCGAAATCATCTCAAGATAACCTCAAGATATGTCATTATTTGTGAGTCTTGTGTAAACAGTTTTTCATCCATAAACAGGGGGTTTGGTGGGTGAATGGAATGGACTTTGACCTTTGCTTACAAGAACAGGCTACAATCAACTGGTGTACCAGCCCGTCCTTATAAACAAAGCCAAAAGTCCATTCCATGCAATCGTTAAACCCCGTTTACGAATGAAAAATGGTTTACACATGTCTCACAACTGATGAGGTCTGCACACGTCCTGAACAAGTGCTTCGCTGATGACTTTTGTTCAGACCAGTCTCAAACCACAACACTGTAAATGCTTCACCCACATACTACAAATACAAATAATTGCCAACAGAACCTAAACACCTAACCTAACCTAACAATGCCTAAATATGCACAATATGCTAATACTGTATATAAAAATATTTATTTATATTTGAAAAAAAATCCAGTTTTGAATGAACATCATATTAACAGTCTCCGTGGTGTAGTGGTAAGACACTCGCCTGGCGTTCCGCGAGCGCTATGTCATGGGTTCGTATCCTGGCCGGGGAGGATTTACTGGGCGCAATTCCTTAACTGTAGCCTCTGTTTAACGCAACAGTAAAATGTGTACTTGGATGAAAAAAAGAATTCTTCGCAGCACGGGATCGTATTCCAGGGACCTGCCCGAAACGCTACACGTACTAGTGGCTGTACAAGAATGTAACAACTCTTGTATATATCTCAAAAAAACAAAAAAAAAATTAATGTTTCTTTGGGGGTGGATTGCTGGATGGAATGGACTTGGTCTGAGGACGGGTTGGGTGTACAGGTTATTGAGCCTACTGGGCTCCATCATATCTACATTTAAATCTGTGTATGGAGTCAGCCTCCACCACATCACGTCCTAGTGAATTTCAATTATTAACTACTGTACTCTTGACACTGCCCTAGTGTTTGTTAAACAAGCTGATACTATAATCTATAGGTAGTATTACAGTCGGGTTCGTTCTCGACGCACAACCGAGAATTCCGGGTTCAGCAATGGTTGGGCACATTTCCTTTCACCTAATGGCACTGTTCATGCAGCAGTTTTCCAAACTCCTGCCTAAATATTGCAAAACAAAAACTGAAAATAATGTTACCATACAAATTACCGTCGCTAGGGCCGTCAGAACACAATGTCAGCCCCAGAGACCAGAACACCATGGGCCCACCGCTGATATATGGCCCTATGATACAAACCCCATGAGCCTTTACGGGCTATTCATGCCCGTGCCACCTCTTGGGTGGCTTAATCTTTATCAATCAATCAAACCCAGGAGCACGTGGCCCGTCCTGTCAAGGTGTTCTGGCTGGCACTTCACTCAAACACAAGTTATGGTGGTGGGAATATGGCCGGGTTTCTGGGCTGTGAGAGGGGGATTGAGGCAGGTGCGGCTCTCACTTCTAACTATTTTTAGCGTTAAGATGAGAGGAGACAAGGCCGCTCTCGCCGGTAGTTTGGCGGTGATTATGTCGCACATAATAGCCAGACTTGCCTAACAAGCCGAATTTTCGGGAAACATTAAATTTATTCAATTTTGTTCTTAGGCAATGATAGTTTTCATTGTATTATATGATTGCAATTTTATGTTATTTGAATTAAAACTAACAAATTGGATTAAACCTAACTTAACCTAACTCAGTAATTGACGTTCCTAATATAATAGATTATTGTTAAAAAAGAACCAATCTGGAAAGATATAACTGAAAATAACGAAAATCATTCTGCCTGCTAGGCACATCGAGCCTTGCATAATAGGCAAAGAAGTGCGGTTCTGGGCTATTACGCACGACTATTACACCATTATGACCATATACTGGTAAGACTATACAGGATATGACCGCTCAATGGTCCCGGGTTCGACTCCCAGCTAGGACAAAACGATTGGGCAACGTTTCCTAGCATCTGCATGACGCCTGTGGTCACCTAGTAATAAATATGTATCCGGGAGTTATGTTGTTGTTGATTTAGGGACGAGGCAACTGTACGTGTGTATTGATGTATCCTGGGAAAGGTCAGCAGCTGATTGATTGATTAAGATTAAGCCACCCAAGAGGTGGCACGGGCATGAATAGCCCGTAACTAGTGTCTCTTTGGAGCCATTACCAATAGCCGATACTGAATGGAAGGGGTCTTGGTTTAATAGATTGGTGAGGCTTAAGCCACCCAAGTGCTAGTTGGTCAGTAGCTAGTTGGTCTACCTATTTAGGGGGACCTCGAAGATTGACGCCTGAAAGGAATCCTCACCCCGACAATGGAAAACCATATAAAATATTTTTTTTTTGTTTAGTTAATTTACCATGCAGCCTATACACATTCTGTGTCCGGTAGTGCAACTGTTACACATTCCGGGAGCAGCAATAATCAAGGCAACATTCTAGAAAATACCTGAGTTTGCCAGGTAAACTCTGGTATTTTCTAAAATGTTTCTAGAATCTAAAATTACACCCGGAGGGGGTGTGATTTGTAACAGTTCCACTACCTGTTGGAATACAATATTAACAACCCTGGAATTGTATTCCTGTTGGAAATACAATACATACAGAAATTTCTTGAACTTTCTACATATAGGTATAACGGGTGCAAAGTATATAACTATTACCTTAAAATTGAGCCATAAATGAATTCTAAAAAATACAAAATAACTATATATCTTAAAATAAAGTGTTTTAGAAGCGTGTTAGTTATATTAGCAGTAAACATAAGCGAGAAGAGAAGGATGGAGGTGGGTGCGTAGCCCAGTAAACAGTATTGAACTGCTGCCACCGGAGCTGCTGCTGCTTCCTCACCAACACGTGTCTCGCCCCAGCCACACACCTACCTCTCACACACCATGTCTAACAAACTGGAAGAGGTAAATATGTTACAGTTACAGTGGGACTGTAGCCGGTGTGAGTACAAGGGTTCAGAATAAGTTGGCTGAACACAGCTCCCGGCGGTCCCTTGAATTACCTAAAGCGCCCCCAAAGTCTCCTGACATTACGTAAGTAATGAAGAAATAGGGTATATTTATTCACTATAATGTTGGTGCTGGATGCAAAATCTGATCAAATCTATTTTTACTCTGACCGGAGTAAATTTCGTAACGAAATTAGAAATAAAATATGACAGATGACGCTATAGGAAGTTGAGGGTGCAAGGGACGATGTGGTGGAGCGACTTGTCCAAGGTATATTGTGGCCTAGAGAGTGTTTGCTGGCATATTAGCCTCCTGTACACAGCGATCCAGTCGTCACACTTTTTTTCATTTATATATATATATAATATATATATATTAATATAATATAAAGTGTTCTTACATTCTTATACAGCCACTAGCTCGCATAGCATTTTGGGCAGGTCCTTAATCTTAATATTCCCCGGAATACAACCCTCCAAATCGTTTAACAACCAGGTACCCATTTTACTGTTGGGTAAACAGAGGCTACAGTTAAGGATTGGCACCCAGTAAATCCTCTCCAGCCAGGAGGATTTACTTTGCTGCTCAAATTGTCACAAATTTAAGTTGTCATATTAACAAGTAGAATGTGTGTTTATAATATCTAGCATAAATTGTCACAACACATTTAAGTTTTATTTAAAAATGTGCAAGTTAAAACAACTCCATAGGACGAGAGTTTTATATAGATACTAATCTTTGTTGGTACGCATTCGCTATTTAAATTATATATAAACTCGTGTCTCTTTGCTCATGGGACACAGAACCCTACATGCTCTCTGATATATTGCTTAATAGAAATTAACAAATAAAGCTTATATATGTATACGTTATCAGGAAGGCAGAGATAAAATCATTTTTGAAAATCCATCACAGGGATTTGATCATATTAGAGAGGAAAGATATTCATATTTTAAAGGTTTCTTGGCTTGACACTCTCCGTATCGATGAACTATGACTTTCAAAGATCAATGTTTAATTTTTATTTAGATACTGTAATAAACAAAGTTTTTTTTTATATCAGAAAGGCAGAAATGTAAACTACATTTTAAATCCTCTGGCATAAATATAACAGAAATGAAAGCGAAAATATATGCATTTTTTTAGTTACTTGATGGCTAGGTCAGGAAGTGTGAGGCCCTGCACACCAGCCAGTCAATTGTGTAATTAATTTGCATATATGCTAATTAACCTTAAAAGTCCATATGTCGGATGAAAGACAGATGTAGATGTTAATGTGACTACATTTCAAGGAATGTATACCTTGGTACTTTCGCTGGCCCGGCAGGCGACTCGCCACAAATCTCAAGGTAGGCCGAACGGTGCACGTGAACTCTTCACTACTAACAAATGTTTGTTCTCGTTTTAACTTTCTCACCTCAATTATCATGTTACATCGTTCAATTTGGTATCATATTGTTAGCAATAGAATGCTCTAAAGGAATGTATGTGCGTATAAGAACATAAGTCTCTCTTTCCTGTACAGTACTTTATTCCTGCCACACACACATTGATCATATTATATGATCCACAGACACACAATGTTTTGAAGAATTCTCAGCGCAAGATCTAATGAAAGGTGGCTTTCTTGTCAGGTTAGTGATTATTGAGGACATGCTAAAGAAGTATGAAGGAAAGATAATTAAATTAGAAGAAGAAAATGAAGGTCTCAAGATTAAGTTTTGTAATTTAAAAGGCAGTTTTCCAGCAAGGTAAGGAAATTGCCAGCTTGACTGATAAGGTAAGGATACAGGAGGAACACATCAAGGAACTAGTTAAAGTTAATGAGGCATGGAAAGTGAAGAGTAGTGAATTTGAAGAAGTAAACAAGAAAATAGACTTGTGGTGAACATGTGCCTGAAACGCTATGCGTATTAGTGGTTTTAGGTATTGTATGTACTAGCTCTGTCTATAAATCCAACATTATGTTTGTAAATAAACTATGTATTGTGTGTACTTTTCCTGAAAAAAAAATTATTTATTTATTTATTTATATATTTATAACAACTCCAAGGGACCCTGAGGACTAACATGGAGTTAGGCAAGGATATGCAATACTGTACTCGCATAGAGGTGGTTAATAAAGAACAAGAAAAGTATAAAGAAATAAGAGACCTATGCACAAGTTGTAAAAGAGAGAGAATCAAGAATTGGGGCCTCGTAGCCTGGTGGATAGCGCGCAGGACTCGTAATTCTGTGGCGCGGGTTCGATTCCCGCACGAGTCAGAAACAAATGGGCAAAGTTTCTTTCACCCTGAATGCCCCTGTTACCTAGCAGTAAATAGGTACCTGGGAGTTAGTCAGCTGTCACGGGCTGCTTCCTGGGGGTGGAGGTCTGGTCGAGGACCGGGCTGCGGGGACACTAAACAGCCCCGAAATCATCTCAAGATAACCTGAAGATGTGTGTTTGGAAGTCAAACCCAAAAATGACCAACAAAAAGCAGAAATTAGTCAAGCAATTAGGAAAGAACTGGTTACCAACAATAAACTAGTACAAAACACTGCAGATAGAAGCAAGTCCATAATAATCTTCGGTCCTTTGGAAAAGGAAATATCTCGGGTGGACAGAGCAGCAGAAGAGATGAAATCATAGAGAAAATAGTAGGTTTAGGAGAAGGCCTAAACTCAAAGGAAAATGTCAGTGATTTTAGAAGAAGAGTAAAATATGAAAGACAAGAACCACCCCATAAGGGTGACGTTTAATGGTGTGAAACACATGATGGAAGTGCTTAGAAATGCCAGGAAATTGCAGTGAAATGAGATTAGCAAACTTTGGTCAATAAGCCAAGACCTCTAAGGAAGACAGAGAAAAGCTGAAAATGAACCTTATTGAAGCAAAACGTCTAAATGGGGATAGAAATGAAGAAGACAGAAATTCTTTTTTTTACAAAGTGTCAGGGACTGGAAAGCTAGTGAAATGGTACATAAAAACAAGGCAGCAAACTCGTTAGTGCAAGAGGGAATAAAGGACAAGTGGAAAGGGAACATGTTCCAGAAAATTGTATATACCAACATAGATGGCATTAGATCAAAAACATTGGAGTTGCAAGATATAATTCAGCTTAAGGTCCCAGATATTGTTGCGTTATCAGAGATGAAACTTGAAGGAAATATTTTAAATGAAGTCGTATTCCCAAAGGGCTACTCAGTTTGGAGACGTGACAGGGTCCTTCCTTCCCCACTAGGAAGGGGGGAGGAGTGGCTGTGCTGGTGAAAGAACACCTGAAGGTGTGTTAATACTTAAAACCCTCGAAGTTGACATAATGGCATTGCAGGTCTGGAATCAGGATGATAAACTGTTAATTGTAAATGCCTACAGCACACCACTAAGCAACACATGGACAAAGGAAGAACTGGATGACAAACGAGAGGGCCTCATAATGGTCATGAGAGATTATTGTACAAGCAGATAAAGATAAATCATGACTGTTGATACTGGGAACTTCAACTTTAAAGCAATAGACTGGGAGGCATATAAAGCAAGAACAGAGGACATTTGGACAGGCAGATTTGTAGACCTCATTCTGGAAACATTCTTGTATCAACACGTCACTATGGTGTGTATGGAGGCTGACTCCATACACAGTTTCAAGTGTAGATATGATAGAGCCCAGTAGGCTCAGGAACCTGTACACCTGGAAGACCTGGACAAAATAAGTACATGGAGCGCCACTTGGCAAATGGAATTTAATGTTAATAAATGCCATGTTATGGAATGTGGAATAGGAGAACATAGACCCCACACAACCTATATATTATGTGAGAAATCTTTAAAGAATTCTGATAAAGAAAGAGATCTAGGGGTGGTTCTAGATAGAAAACTATCACCTGAGGACCACATAAAGAATATTGTGCGAGGAGCCTATGCCACGCTTTCTAACTTCAGAATTGCTTTTAAATACATGGATGGCGATATACTAAAGAAATTGTTCACGACTTTTGTTAGGCCAAAGCTAGAATATGCAGCAGTTGTGTGGTGCCCATATCTTAAGAAGCACATCAACAAACTGGAAAAGGTGCAAAGACATGCTACTAAGTGGCTCCCAGAACTGAAGGGCAAGAGCTACGAGGAGAGGTTAGAGGCATTAAATATGCCAAAACTAGAAGACAGAAGAAAAAGAGGTGATATGATCACTACATACAAAATAGTAACAGGAATTGATAAAATCGATAGGGAAGATTTCTTGAGACCTGGAACGTTAAGAACAAGAGGTCATAGATATAAACTAGCTAAACACAGATGCCGAAGAAATATAAGAAAATTCACTTTCGCAAACAGAGTGGTAGACGGTTGGAACAAGTTAGGGGAGAAGGTGGTGGAGGCCAAGACCGTCAGTAGTTTTAAAGCATTATATGACAAAGAGTGCTGGGAAGACGGGACACCACGAGCGTAGCTCTCATCCTGTAACTACACTTAGGTAATTACCAGTTGATTGACAGTTGAGAGGTGGGACCAAAGAGCCAGAGCTCAACCCCCGCAAGCACAAATAGGTGAGTACGTCAAGCAGGCCACAAGAATGAGGGAAGGGGGATGTACCTTCAGACTGGATCTAATATTCACCAGGAAAGATAGAGATATTTGATATCCAGTACCTTCCTCCCTTGGGAAAGAGTGATCATGTTCTGTTAGACATTAAATATGCTTTAAGATATCATCTAGAAGAAAATGGGGACATTGAAACAGTTGTTAAACTCGATTTAGGGAGCATAACCAAGCAAATATTGTGGCAGCCAGAAAAATGATAGGATGTATTACGAGAACTTTCAAATCCAGGGATCCCATCACAATGGTTGTACTCTTCAAATCACTTGTGCTGTCCCGTCTTGAGTACTGCTCAGTATTCACTTCCCCCTTCAGAGCAGGAGAGATTGCTGAAATAGAGGGTGTACAGAGAACATACACGGCATACATGGATGCAATAAAACATCTACAGTAAATTATTGGGATCGTCTCAAAGCTCTCCAAATGTACTCGCTAGAAAGATGACGGGAGAGATATCAAATAATATACACGTGGAAAATACTGGAGGGACAGGTTCCAAATCTGCACAGTAAAATAACAACATACTGGAGTGAATGATATAGAAGAAAATGCAGAATAGAATCAGTGAACAGGGGTGCCATAGGCACAATCGGAGAGAACTGTATAAACATCAGAGGTCCATGGTTGTTCAACATCCTCCCAATGAGCATAAGAAATATTGCCGGAACAACCGTGGACATCAAGAGAAACTAGATAGTTTTCTTCAAGGAGTGCTAACCAACCGGGCTGTGGTGGGTATGTGGGCCTGCGGGCCGCTTTAAGCAACAGCCTAGTGAACCAACTCGCAAGTCAAGCCTGGCCTCGGGCTGGGCTTGCGGAGTAGAAGAACTAGAACCCCATCAAGCAGGTATTAAGCAGATTTCAAGAGAGGACACTATGGGGAACTTCAGCAAATTTTTAATGAGTATAATTGGACAGACTTGTTGCTTGGTAGGTAAGTAAATGAGATGTATGCCAAATTTTGCGAAAAATATGAAGAAGCCACACAAACATTCATACCTTTTACAGATTTTATATGAAAAATTTTACAGGAAAGAGATGGGTTGACTGCATCTATCTGGACCTAAAAAAGGCTTTTGACAGAGTTCCACATATGAGGTTGTTCTGGAAACTGGAACATATTGCAGGGGTGACAGGTAAGCTTCTAACATGTATGAAAAATTTCCTAACTGATGGAAAAATGAGGGCCATAATCAGTGGCAATATATCGGATTGGAGGAATGTCACAAGTGGAGTAACACAGGGTTCGGTTCTTGCACCGGTAATGTTCATTGTCTACATAAACGATCTACCAGATGAAATACAGAATTATATGAACATGTTTACTGATGATGCTAAGATAATAGGGAAGATAAGAAACCTAGATGATTGTCATAGCCTTCAAAAAGACCTGGACAAAATAAGTATATGGAGCACCAATTGGTAAATGGAATTTAATGTGAATAATTGCCATGTTATGGAATGTGGAATTGGAGAACATAGACCCCACACAACCTATAAATTATGTGAGAAATCTTTAAAGAATTCTGACAAATAAAGGGATCTAGGGGTGATTCTAGATAAAAAAAACTGTCATTTAAGAACCACATTAAGAACATTGTGCGAGGAGCCTATGCTACACTTTCTAACTTCAGAATTGCTTTTAAATACATGGATAGAGAAATAATAAAGAAATTGTTCACGACTAATGTTAGACTAAAGCTGGAGTATACAGCGGTTGTGTGGTGCCCGTATCTTAACCCTCAAACCACTAGGGGCCCAAATGGAATTCGCACCCACAGGCGCAACAAAAAAAAAATCCAAAAAATTCTTTTGTCTTATAGAAGTGTTCATTTTTGTTCCCTGATCACGGAAAAAATAACAAAAAAATCGTAGGTGGCATATTTTAGCCGCAATAGGGTAGGGAAGTGTGGCAAAAAAGGGGCGTTGGCAGAGCCTTCGCCAGACGAGGTCTACTCTGCCCGAGCTGTCAAACGGCAGTTGCCACAAATATATTATTACCTAATTATTTCAGTGTCTGATTTTTTCTTAGTTTTTTGCAGTAATATTATTCCATACAGTAAATTGTGGTATATTTATATAATAAAATGTGTGAACCATCGCTGTACTCAAAAGTATGGTGTGCATATTAGCGATTCAATTATTATGTTCATAAAACAATAAACAAATAGTTTTGCTGTTGTTACACTATATACACAGGTTATATATAAGTATCTGCATGTTTTGTTCACCATAATGAACTACTAAGTTGGTCTTCGAGTCAAAAAGCAACGAGGAGTGACCGCCACACACCAGTGAGCCACTCACTGCCACTCCCTCCCTCAACACCACCTCACTCACCACCTCACTCACCACCTCACTCACCACCTCACTCACCACCTCACTCACCACCTCACTCACCACCTCACTCACCCTCATTCTCCCTCCCACAATACTGTTTTTGCATTTATTCACTATACACAGACGTTATATATACGTATTTACATGTTTTGTTCACCATAACTGTACATCTAAGCTTGTATGGTGAGTAAAGGCACAAAGACGTAGCTACTCACACAGTCAGCTGATCGGCGGCCGCCCTCAAGGCCAGACGCACTAATATTTCTCCTCCAACAATATTGTTTGTGGTGTTATTATGCTATATACACACATTATATATAAGTATCTACCTGTTTTATTCACCATACATGTACAAATAAGCTGGTATGGTGCCCAAAGACCATAATGGCCACCAGTAAACAACATGCCAAGTCGTGCAGACGACGCTCTTCCCTCACCAAAATGGCGGCTCCCAACCTACTCCTCTCGCTGTTATCTCTCACTATACACACGTTATATATAAGTATCTACATTTGTGTTCACCATAGCGAACCACTAAGCTGGTATGGTGAGTGCAGTCAATAAATGGTGGCCACACAGTCAGAAGACTACGCCACAACCCTCCCTCCACAGCCTTACTCCTCCCTCCACAGCCTTACTCCTCCCTCCATGGAGCACAGCGCTAAATATCACCACAATCCTGCTATTATCAGAATCCTGGTCAGTTTTATCACAGTCAGGGGGCTTCAGTAATACTATCACTGCTAAATAATAGCAGTATCAAATATATTTTGGCATTTGTAGGCGATGCTGTGGTCACAAGCTGAACAGCGGTGCTGTGAGCTCGTGCTGCATGCGCCAGCGTTGGTGGCTTGCTAATTACTGACGCTCTAACACCCAAGAATGTTGGCCTGGATTTTTTTTCTAGGTGGCATCTGGCAACTATCGGTCGTGGCTGTACGATAGCTGCCCCTATCCCAGGCGGGGCGTTTAAATTATAGCACTAGACATGAAATCATATATAAATGATGTGTGCGGTTTCGGTTTTGTCACTGATATCATTTATATATGATATGCGCAGTTTGAGAGTTAAGAAGCACATCAACAAACTGGAAAAGGTGCAAAGACATGCCACTAAGTGACTCCCAGAACTGAAGGACAAGAGCTATGAGGAGAGTTTAGAGGCACTGAAAATGCAAAAACTAAAAGATAGGAGAAAAAGGTTCGATATGATCACTACGTACAAAATGTGTGTGTCATATCGATGGTTTACCCCTTTCTTTCAATCCATACTCTTGCCCTTATGATGCCAATTAGGCCATATGTCATCACCCAGATCCCAACACCATTATATATTATTTATATCCTTTTTACTACTCTATGATTGTAATGAAGTATACCACATAAACCATCAATTGAAACAATTGTGTTGTGTGAATTATGTGATTTATAAAGTTATTCAACACACATACTCTTGAAAATAAGGTAAACAAGTGATAAAGAATCTGTGAAGCATCCAAGGATAACAAAGGAAGTCTCGGCAGAGTCAGGCACTGGGTGTTGACAGGCGCCACACACGCACCCTTCGACAGCACCTCCACCCACTGAAACGATAAATATTCACTTACTTTAATTTTTTCTTGCATTTTACATAAAAATTTATAATTCTATAAGGTATTTTTTTGGGCGGGGAAGGTATGGCCATTTCTCCGTAGCTGCTGTCTAAGGGTTAAGGACCTTCAGGATTGTTTTGAGATAAAATACAAATACCTGTACTGTACAGCATACTGAATGTTTTATTTTTAATAAACTAAAAAGAGTTCACAATTTTTCCAAACAAATATATACTGTATGTTGATATGCATGTTAGTGGCTTTACGTGAATGCAAGAACACCAATGTTATGAACTCTCAAACCCAATGTACCTTGTTGTAAATAAATAAATTAATAAAATAAATGATACTTGTCAAAAGAATGCCAGTGTGGGGTCTGATTTTAAATATTTTTGTTTTAGGCACATAAAGATGTTAAAGAAATGCGCTCACTATTGAAGTCTGCTACCCGTAAACGTGTTCAAGATTGTATCTCGCAAGAACTACGAAAATTGGAAATAGAGGTAAGATTGTACAGTACTGTAACTTTTTCTTTTTTATCAAGGCTACACATTTTAGTAATAGTAAAGACAAACATTTTCTGGCAGATATCTAGTTCATAATTTAACACCCTTTTTATAATTTTAGACTAAGAATGGTGCCGAGGTGAATCTTGCCTGAAGCCTGACCTTTAAAACTCATTTATTTGATCTTATTTGTTATAACTAGGAATAAACTTTGTTCTAGTTATTGGATGAAACTGGAGCCAATTGTTTGCTAGAACCTTCATATGGTTGATTAACTTGATTTCATGCAAATTTACATGTTAAGCAACTATGTTCCTAATGAGAGATGGTCTAGAAATTAATGAATGCTGATGGAGTAATGTTCTTTAGGAAGGCTCTGTGGGATTATTTTTCCTGATTCCCTAAAGTAAAAGATCTAACTTCTAACATGACAGCAATCTTGGCTGTCTACAGTGATAGTATTCGTATTCAGTGGCCTCTTAAGATAACTGATGTCGTCTTCGAGTTATAGTGGACTGTGTATGTTGTCTCAGTGTTCCCTCAGTGGTTCACAATTAGGGAGCCTCGACAGGAATGGTGCTTTTTTTTCATTGTAGCTGCCAAATGAAAATAATAACGTTACCACTTGGTAATACTAAAAAATATGTATAATGCAGCTAGATCTGATAGGGTTATAAATTATTACTTTTTAGCCCATCTTTTTCATTCTGGTATTTTGCCATGTAGGAATTATATTAACAATGACAAGATTGGTTATTTAATTCTTTATTGTGAATTTATCTATTGTAAGTATATACTTAAATGTATCTTTAAGCAATTGCAATATATCAAATATTTGTTAAATATTGGTTAACCTAGTTAGTTATATTCAATTAAATGGCAAGTACGGTAATTTGCTTACTGAGGTGGGCTCGTAAACCCATGGTAATAACTGCACTTGTAATATAATGGGGGGTTAGTAGCACAAAGAATCTGGATCCAGATCCTTACCACCAACTTTCCTTGTTTTTAATGTAATATGCAGGTACAGAGCTCTGTCTTATTTTGCCAAGACTTGGCCCTCTTGTTGGGCCAGAGCTGGTAGTGGCGTGGGATGTGTTATGGTGTCTTGCTCCTTCAGCTGTGGTGTCGGGCATCAGGTGTGGCACCACATCCCACTTCACACAGTTTCTCATTTAATTCCTTACCTTACCTTGAGATGATTTCGGGGCTTAGCGACCCCTAATTCACTTGTAATTTTATTATTTCACTACAATAACTGCCCACAGAGTAGATAAACAGCTAGATTAAAAACATAAACATCATACGTTGTGGTGTATAGTCTGTTATGGTGTTTTGGTGTGGTGTCAGCTGTGGCTTCAGGCAATTACAGTACCTAAGTGTAGTTGATACCTGGGGTTCTTGGAGTTCTTCTACTCCCCAAGCCCGGCCCGAGGCCAGGCTTGACTTGTGAGAGTTTGGTCCACTAGGCTGTTGCTTGCAGCGGCCCACATACCCACCGCAGCCCGGTTGGTCCGGCACTCCTTGGAGGAAACTATCTAGTTTTCCTCTTGAAACTAGTTACAGGATGTAACTATCTGGGTAACTGTATGCTTGTGGTGTCCATTCTTCCCAGTACTCTGTCGTATAATGCTTTGAAACTACTGATGGTTTTGGCCTCCACTACCACCTCAATTAACTAGTTCTAACCATGTATCACTCTAAAAGAAAACTCTCATTTTTTTCAGCAACTTTGTTTCCTTAGCTTGAATCTGTCCTCTTGTTCTTGAAGCTCTTGAAAAAAAGAATATCCAGGCTGATATAGATATATTAGACTTTGGCATCAATCAGTGTGAATGGAGTTCTAGGCCTACTGGGGACCACGAGCCAGAACCTGGCCCCCTGTAATGTAATGAAACGCCATTTTCTGGGTGAGACCCCGGAGGCTCCCCAGCAACCCTCCCTACCCCCAATTGGTGTTTTTCGCGTATTTTGATATCCAGCCTGGAACTGGGGTGTGGATAGCCGGCGTGAGGGGTCTGGAGCTCCCCCTTACCCCCTCCTGGGGAGGGGGAGCTGTGCAGGCAAGCAGCGCTGTACATGTGATGTCATCTTGAGATGATTTCGGGGCTTTAGTGTCCCCGCGGCCCAGTCCTCGACCAGGCCTCCACCCCCAGGAAGCAGCCCGTGATGACAGCTGACTAACACCCAGGTACCTATTTTACTGCTAGGTAACAGGAGCATAGGGTGAAAGAAACTCTGCCCATTGTTTCTCGCCGGCGCCCGGGATCGAACCCGGGACCACAGGATCACAAGTCCAGTGTGCTGTCCGCTCGGCCGACTGGCTCCCCAATGCTCGTGCTCGTTTGCTCGTTTTTATTTAGGGAGTTGTGTCCACTTGTTAGTCTTCTGTAGTAGTATTAACCAGAATAAGGGTTTTGAGGAGGTTACTTTTCTGGATGCCATGCCCGGTCGACGGCAGACATAGAATGCTCCAACTCACATGTGCACTTCTATATATTCACTCCTCGTGCCTCTGAGGGGGCCAGGTTCTGGCTTGTGGTCCCTGGTAAGCCTAGAACTCCATTCACACTGATGCCAAAGTCTAATAATATACATATCAGCCTGGATAGCTCTGGGGAGACTCCAGGTCTCGCCCAGAAAATGGCGTTTCATTACAGTCAACACTGTAATGAATATAATAATTTATTTAATATAGAATTTGTAATATACGTTACCTTTATTGAGGAGCCTTGTTGGCGTTTGGAAGATGGTGAGGAGGGGGGGGAGAGAGGATTTAGTGTTTGGAAGGAGAGTCGAGTCGTCTTCCATTATAGCATCAGGCAATGATGATATTTTTTCTCCTACGTTTTGCAGGCATACAACTAGGACCTGGTTGTGACTCACCGCTTGCTTGTCTTACTAAGAATCTGTCTAGACACTGGTTTTCCCCAACGTTTTAACACTAACAAACGAGTGAGACATCGCACTCATTTCTGTGAATATCTTTTTTCTTTTATCGTCATCCTCACAACTATTTTCTTAGGTTGAATTTTACCAATGACTTTCTTGGGACCCATGGCATGATATATAATAAGAACTTTTATGTTCAGAAACAAAAAATGCAGAACAACAATATAAGTTGAGATAAACAAATGTGGCTAGATTTGTGGCTTTATTGATCAAATGATTCTAGTACCTGTACAGTTACAACTTGCAATAATACCATGTCATATGGTATACAATACAAATAAATAGTATAAGCACTTTCCATTCATTATAACAATAGGTAAACTGCATATGAACTAAAGCTAGAACAAATGATACATGGTTGATGGGGTTCTGGGAGTTCTACTCCCCAAGCCTGGCCCGAGGCCAAGCTTGACTTGTGAGAGTTTGGTCCACCAGGACCAAATAAATCGAGAGAGAACATTACACCAATTGGTATACACGCATGTGACGGTTGATATGCCGGACACCAAAATAATAAATCGAGCAAGCATCCATCCGGGTACAATAATAGCTCCACCCCCAATACAGTCAATACAACACTTTTACCACAAAAGTCTTTACAAAGAATTCCAGCACGGTCGTCACTGGGTGGGATACACAGGTAAACTAAATGCCTTGCCTGCGTCCAGCAGCAGCATGCACTCACTTGACTCATACAGTTATCAACAGACAAGTTGTATTCAGTCAGACAATTCAAATTTTATGAGGAATTTGACGTCATATACCAAAAAAATTGCAATCTAGGGCAGTCATAAATCATGGTATCTCTAACCCTGTCCATGGAGGACAGAAGAAAATGTGTATATATGTTGGTTAGCATTGTAAATGTATTGCCACGTCTGTGGTAGAAAATAATAATAAAAAATTAAAAACTAAATTGCATGTAAAAATATAAAAATTGTCGAATACATTGGCCTCTTAGATAAGAGTTAATATTCCTTATGCCTAGAATCATAAGGGTTTTGATTGGTATATCTTTGTTTCAGGTTACACAACTTCAGGACGAAGCAATGTTGAAACCCGTTGACCTGAAACCCAAATCTGCAACTGCCAATACTTATACAGTCAATATTAGAAATTATTGTAAGTGAATCTATGGGCTCTTGTTGTGTGTGTTAAATACATCTACACAAAATAGAAAATGATTCAGTTTAGATTCAGAAAAGATTGTGTAAATATTGATTTATGGAAGAAATTACTAGGTACCATAATAGATGTGGGATTACTAGATTGCTTCATTCAAAGGTTAGATGTATACTTTTTATGAATACATAAAGTTTATTTGGGAATAAATAGGAGTTGCCTCACATGGGCCAATATGCCTTCTTCAGTGTGGAATGCAATTGGCATTCATCAGACAAATCCTCATGGAAATTCTTCTCATTTATCATGGGGGGGGGATATGAAACTGTACACACCCCTGAAGTAGTAGGTGGTTGACTTTGCTTCATCCAAAAGACCACCATAATTAATGAAATAAAATTCTGTCTACACTTGCTTATCCAAATTATATGAGAAGGACTCCCCAGATGGACAAGTTATTCCCAGTTGTATTCTTAGTTTTTATTCTGTTTTTAATTGAAGATGTATTGTTTCAGCCTGGGATCAGTCAGACAAATTTTTGAAAATCTACATCACCTTGAAGAATGTCCAGAGTTTGGGGAAGGCAGCAGTTATAACTACATTTGAAAAGAGGTAAAATTTGTTATTTGTCTAGTCATTAATACAGAGAATAATTAATCTTTAATACAGAGTAATTCTGTGTCAGTAGTGAAGATATTTTTCCTTAAATACATTTTATATGTTGAGAATGACTTATGTCTTCTTGGTTATTAATAAGTGCTGTGAGAGTTTAGTACACATTTGTTCCAGCAATGGTATTGAGAGGGATGCTTTGCTGGTTAATGAATGTGAATAGTGTTGTATAATCATTTATCTGCTGCATTGTCTTCCCTCTCTTCCCCTTCCCCATTCTCCCAGTTCCCGCTATGTATATTGAGAATGATTACCAAAAAAGCCACACGTTGCTCTGTAATTTAATCTTCTGGTCTGTTTTCAACCACCTTATGCCGTCATGAGACCTATACCTTCACTAATCCTCCACGCCCTATTCTATGAAGTAATAATAAGATAATATTCATAATAAATGTATACAAATTACATAAGAGTAGGTAAATTGTAGGTACAGGGGATGCACTCATCCCCGTGTATTCAAACTTGTATTTTTTAAATTCCAAACCTACCATCTGTCCTCTCTTTAATGCCCACATCATCATGGGTAATTTCTATTGGCCAACTCTACAATTTCACACATCTCTTTGGAATTCTGCTATCCTTCATATTTCATACTCTTCCTCTTGCTAATTCTTTCACACTTTTTAAACCATTTGTGTTACTAATATAATGTTACATGTTTGAGAGATTAATATGCCAAGTGTTGGGATTCAAGTTTTGTAAATTTGTGACTTATATGACTTTAAATGGAACTAATTTTTACCTAATCCACTTCATTATTTATCTAAAATGAGTTTCATATTAATGATTAGTGATGTTATGGCAAATTATTTGGTTAATTTTTGTGAATGTGTATCCAATAATCTAATAAAACTGTCATAGGCATTGATAGGTGTTTTGTTTCATGTGTGCAGAGGTGTACAGGTGATGGTTCATGAGCTTGATGGGAAGAATTATCATCTTAACATAACCAACCTTGCCAGGAACATTAAGCCCGATGCCAGCTATCACAAGGTTAAAACAGGTCAGTATTTTTGCCTCTTAATTATTTGCATGTTTTGAGGCTGGCTAAATTTACCAACAAAGAAAAATATTGATTGTCAATGGAAAATACAAAAAAAAAATTATTGGAAAACGTTTCCTTAAAACATTTTTGAAGAACGTATCTCCAGTTGGAGTACTTTCTTGCCACCAAATTACTATTATTCACTTTTTCTTGGCTATCACATTTGGTTGCTTCCTTAAATATGAGCCCCCCAATGTTCCTAAGACACGATGATGCACAGCTAAGCAAGATGTTACACTAGTATAGCATGGAATCACAGTACATATTCAAACATTAATACACGGTTAACAAAAAAAAAATGATAGTTGAAGTGCTTGACTACCATCACCAGATGGCAGCACCATAGGGTTTCCTACTGGGTTTACTGACCTGAGCCAGCTCACGCTCCTTGCTGTCTGCACACTGGGATTGGATTAGTTGACTAATCTTGATTTATGAAACGTATTTACTTGTGGCCAGGGACATACGGTCAGAAAGTGGACAAAACTGATGAGACCATACTCCACAAATGAAGATGATGAGAAGGTGAGAAGATGAGAAACTAGAGGAGTTTGGGAAGTACAAAGGGAAACGGGGGCAACCAATTGGCATACTATATCTGGAACTGCCAAACCACCCTTGTCAAGCTGCAAACCAAACTACAGAGCACAACCCTGGAAACCCAAGAATCCTGAACACAAAGTCAAAGAAACATAAATTTGTGCCATGAAAGCACCCCTTAGATCATGGCATGCTTCGTGGCCTGGGAAACCTTCATGGAATCTGGTGTCTAATGGAAGCATTGAGGAATGCCATAAGGAGAACCTATAGCACAACACACCCAGACACCACACACAGCATACGGGATGGGTGGCTCGGGAAACGTTCCACATGGCCTAACCTTGGGAATAACAAGGGTACAGCCAAACAACTGGGAAAGCAACCCAGAAGCTATAATTAATATTACTAATTTTGGATAAAATAAGCCTTTCCCAGGGGCATCGTAGGCTAGAGCAGGCTTCCTCCCCTTCTCTGCATGGTGCCCTAGGGGGCAGGAGTTTACTTTTGATAAACTCCATATAGACCATTCTTAACATTCTACTGTGGATGTTTTTCCACATGCTGAATGTTACCCAAAAGCTCCAGCAAACTGCCAGCTTTACCCAAAAGCTCCAGCAAACTGCCAGCTTTACCCAAAAGCTCCAGCAAACTGCCAGCTTTACCCAAAAGCTCCAGCAAACTGCCAGCTTTACCCAAAAGCTCCAGCAAACTGCCAGCTTTACCCAAAAGCTCCAGCAAACTGCCAGCTTTAAAACCCCTTCATATTTCATTTGTGATGGAGTGTTTATAAGGAGAGGGAAGAGCATGGGAGTTAAAATAATGGAAAGTGGAATTGAGGATATTTATCAAATCGATGTATAATAAAGTATAAGCTACATATTAAAAGGAAAATATCAATGTTCAATAATATAAAATGTAACAAAAGTCAATTAAATCAACTCGTGCAACAAATGCTAACAATGAAAAATACGGTCTTTAGAGGTGAAAGTTTAAACTCGATTATACATCAGACTGATCAGCAGTGCCAGACTGACTGGCTGACTAGACACTAACCAGGAGACCTCGTCAGAGACTAAGCCATGGAGGACATTGAACCTCGGAACCAGCTCGAGGTATGCAATTGATAGTTAATTTTGCAACGTGTGAATGAAATTAAATACATCAGGGATCACAGAGGAGATACACCAACACAACTCGGACACAGTAGTGCAATGTAATCTCGATTCACGGAACTATACAGGACAAACTCCAATTCATTGCAACCGGAGATGTCATCAGGAGGCCAATGTTTTCAATGAAAATAAAGAAATCTTAAAATGAAATTGAACCATAGAATTGGGTTTTAATGTGCTCAATGGCTTTCCCAAGCGGCCCCTCCCCCCCAAACTCTTCTAATCTCATGTTGATCAGTGAAAATCATTAAAAAGATGACTTGGGCTCTGTTAGTGCATTACCATTTATACCCAAATATTTCCCAGGCCCTAATGGCTGATTTTGCCAAAGGATTCTTTAATTTTAACCCGATATGTTGGGCAACTTTTTCACCAGTCTGGGAACTGTCTCGACATGCTAAGCAAATTGGAGTTTGTCGAATCGAGGTTCCGCTGTCATGAAAAAAAATCAACCATACAAATTATAGAAAAGTCTAAACTTTTTAAAAGACCATGAATGATATAAACTATAATGAATGAAATGCAAGCAAAGACAACACTGGAAATTTTATAATGTGGAGAAAATGCAAAATGCTGGAAATAACGTGTATTGTCCGATTGGACAATAAACAAGTTATCTATTAATTCATTTAATTGCTTTCTACCCTTCTCTAAATTTTCAATAATTATTGTCTTAAACAATACTGTATAAAAAACATTCTAAAATTACATTTTATTAATATTGAGCAAATACCCATCTTGGGTAACTTGAGTGTTACCTGTGCATGCGTGTACATTCTTGTGTGCATAACATGTCAATTTTTTTTGTTTTTAGATATGCTGGTAGTGTTCCTAGCCAAGAGTGAAGAACACACCTGGGTAGGCGTCACCGCTGAAGACGTACGAGTCACTGAAGCGCGTAAACCCAAAGTCGACAGTGACGACCCTAATGCTGGAATGATGGATCTCATGAAGAAAATGTATGATGAGGGTGACGATAAGATGAAGCAGGTATGTTGGAAACATCCATGTGTGTTGTCTAGATTTAAATAAATTTATAACAATTGAGTGGACAATTGCAGTGCTTGAACCCCCAACAATAAAACTAATACTGTGCCCCCCTCTATAATAAAGTTCTGTATATTCGTTTATTACTCATAAATTATATATTTCCTGAACTACACATGTAAAGCTTGAAGTTCTATTTCAAGGAATGCTGAACAAGTTTACTGAATGATGACAAATTAAAGGTGGAAACCACCATTGAAGTGTGAGAGATGGGTATAAGGTAGGAGTGTTTAGGGGTGAAGGAAGAAAGGAATGGCGGGCCAAGAAAGTTACTCGCTTCCTGTTAATAACATTATCTGTCTTCTGTGATATGTATATAATCATTGGCTCTATAATTCAAATGATGCATTACATTTGTAATGTAATTAGTGTAATATACATTACTTACCATTAACATCTACTTTCAGTAAAAGTTTATTAATATTAACTCGCATTCAACAATTTGGTGTCAGTAGGGATACCTAATGCTTCTCGCAGGATTATTAGGTGCCCCTGGTGGTTATATCTCGTGCTTCTCACAGGATTATTAGGTGGCCCTGGTGGTTATATCTCGTGCTTCTCACAGGATTATTAGGTGGCCCTGGTGGTTATATCTCGTGCTTCTCGCAGGATTATTAGGTGCCCCTGGTGGTTATATCTCGTGCTTCTCACAGGATTATTAGGTGGCCCTGGTGGTTATATCTCGTGCTTCTCGCAGGATTATTAGGTGGCCCTGGTGGTTATATCTCGTGCTTCTCGCAGGATTATTAGGTGGCCCTGGTGGTTATATCTCGTGCTTCTCGCAGGATTATTAGGTGCCCCTGGTGGTTATATCTCGTGCTTCTCACAGGATTATTAGGTGGCCCTGGTGGTTATATCTCGTGCTTCTCACAGGATTATTAGGTGGCCCTGGTGGTTATATCTCGTGCTTCTCACAGGATTATTAGGTGGCCCTGGTGGTTATATCTCGTGCTTCTCACAGGATTATTAGGTGGCCCTGGTGGTTATATCTCGTGCTTCTCGCAGGATTATTAGGTGGCCCTGGTGGTTATATCTCGTGCTTCTCGCAGGATTATTAGGTGGCCCTGGTGGTTATATCTCGTGCTTCTCGCAGGATTATTAGGTGCCCCCGGTGGTTATATCTCGTGCTTCTCACAGGATTATTAGGTGGCCCTGGTGGTTATATCTCGTGCTTCTCGCAGGATTATTAGGTGGCCCTGGTGGTTATATCTCGTGCTTCTCACAGGATTATTAGGTGGCCCTGGTGGTTATATCTCGTGCTTCTCGCAGGATTATTAGGTGGCCCTGGTGGTTATATCTCGTGCTTCTCACAGGATTATTATTTAATGTTGTGAAGTCTGAAAATAGTAATATTTCTCCATATTAGAAAGAAGATAAATGATTTACGAAGCATCTTTGAGAGCTTAGCACCAAATATAAGTATGCCGCCAAAGGATTAAAATGACTTTATAATATTTTTTGTATGGTAATATAAAATAAATACTTTACTCAGTATATGCCAGTATTGTAGAGAGGGAGGGGAAGGTTATAACTTTAGTAGGCCAAGTGCTCAAACTCTTGAGCTATTCACCATCTTCCCTACTTTGTGATAATTTTCCCTTTTTTCTATCAAGTTCTTTATTTCACAAAATAAAAATTCTTTTCCCTAAGCTTCCCTATTCCTTTCCCCAGTCCCATCCCCAAATCCTTATCCTGACCCCTTCCCAGTGCTATATAGTCGTAATGGCTTGGCGCTCTTACCGATAATTCCCCTCCCTCGCCATTTGAAATGGGGAAGGTTAGGGAGAAGAACTTGTATTCTTTATAGAATGTAGGGAAATTTATCACAAAGTAGGGAAGATTTGTATTTTGACATCTTTCTTTGTTGATTGAGAAGGAATTGCAAAAGATTGTGTATGAGATCAATAGTGTGGGTAAGAGAAGAAATATGAATGTTAGTGAAGGATAAAAAGTACAATTACGGTGTTTGAGGAAAGGGAATCAGATGTCTGGATTATGTAGATTCATTCAGAATGGCAAGACAGTGCTACAATCTTTATTGGGAAAACTGACTCTGGGATTTTGTTATTTACTAACTGTACCCGGCCACGCATTGCTGTGTGTACTGAGCTACAGCAACCTTTCCCCGTCTCCCAGTCCTCCCACCATTACCCCCTTCCTCTGTCCCCTCGTCCTCCCAACCATTCCCCACTCCCCTGTCCCACCATCCTCCCCACCATTTCCCCTCCCCTCATCCTCCCCACCATTACCCCTCCCCTCATCCTCCCCATCATTACCCCCTTCCCCATCTTTTGTCCTCCCCACCATCCCCCACTCCAGCATCCCCTGGTGCTTCTAACTATTCCCCACTCTGTCCCCTTGTCCTCCTCACTATCCCCCACTCCCCTGTCCCCTTGTCCTCCCTACCATCCCCCACTCCCCTTGTCCTCCCCATCATCCCCCACTCCCCTGTCCCCTTGTCCTCCCCCACCATTCTCCTTTCCCCTATTCCCTCATTCCCACCATCCCCAACTCCCCCATCCCCCCCCACCATTACCCTCTCCCCCGTCCCCTCGTCCTTCCCACCATCCCCCACGCCCGTCCCCTCGTCCTCTTAACCATTCCCCACTCCCTCGTTCGATGCAGTCCCAAATGATCTGATGTTCCCATCACTTAAATATAAGAAAAAAGTTAAAAAAAATGAAAAACAGTGAAAAAATAAAAAATAAACTACTAAAATATAAATGGTATGGTAAGCAATACGTCTCAATTCCAACGCAATGCCACACAAAATAATTAAATCAAAATGAAAATAAATCAATATGAAAATTCAATTTATCAATGAAATTGGAAATGTTGAAATGGAATCATAACATATTTAGTATAGCGTGTGTTGTATGTAACACTTTCGCTCAGTAACGACGCAGCATTGCGTTGTTTTTTTAGTAGACGCATTTCTGGTAACGACACAGCATTGCGTCGTTCATTAAAATATTTGCCAAAAATCTGGGTTTTATCTGATTTTTTGGGACCGTTTTTAAACTGCACGCCAACGTCTTCCCACTTTCCTTGTTAGACCTCATTGCACTCAGGCAGCATGGGACACGCCTTAGGCCCATTGTTTTCTCTCCACTGTTGTGCCTGGTGTTGCCTCCCCTCGTGTCTCAAACGTGAGAACATTTCGGGTATTTTCTGTGGCTATATTTCTTAATGCGGCTTTAGAAACATTCTGCGTTTACTCCACAATCAATAGTGATCATAAACAAAGCCATTCCAGGAAGAGATTTGCGAAAGAAAGGCGTGAAAAGGAGAAGTTTAAGTAGTGTACAAGAGAAGTACAATCGAGTGAGACTAATGCCCTCTAAGTTTCAGGCTGTATTTGACGATTTGTTGGAGTTATCTAGTGAGGAAAGTGTTGTTGAGACTGACACTGATGAGGTTAGTGAATGTATTGAAACAGAGACGGCCAAGGAGGATTTTGGTAGTGATGGAAGTGACGCGTCTGAGGTTGAGATTGCCACTCGTGCACGGCGAGGTACTGGAGCTCGTGCCAGAGCTAGACTTACCACATGTACCCCACCACCAACAGGTTCTGATGAAGGGTGGTGTAGTGACAATACTCCACCCTTTGTAGACAGTTTTACAGCTACACCAGGCTTGACTGTTCCTGTACCTACCACTGCTTTGGGTTTTATTCAACTATTTCTCACTCAAAGCTTGTTGAAATATATGGCTTATGAAACTAATTTGCATGCTTCCCAAAGTAAGGTACATACTGGGGCATTGACAAACAAGAGATGGGAACCAGTGACAGTGAAAGACATTGCCAGATATTTGGGACTGACGATCTTGATGGGTATTTGCCCGTTGCCAAGACTTAGAATGTATTGGCAAACAGGCAGATTCTGGCACATACCTTGTTTCAACACCCTTATGACTGGTAAAGGATATGAAATGATTGAAAAGTATTTTCATATTTATAACAAGAAGTCTATACCACAAGGCCAAAAAGTTGACACTTATCAAAGTTTGCTCAGTCATGCAATATCTCACAAATAGATTCAAGACATTATACATTCCCCAGAAAAATTTGAGTTTGGATGAAGGGACAATGGCATGGCGTGGCCGTTTATCTTTCAAGACCTATAATCCCAATAAACCTGATAAATAAGGAATAAAGCTCTACATGCTAGCTGAATCCAAGACTGCCTACATTTTTTATTTTGAAATTTATTCTGGAATTGGAAAAACGACGATTGAAACCGTAATGGGCTTGAATGAACCTCTGAAGAACCAAGGTTACCATTTATATATGGACAACTATTATAATTTGGTTCGGTTCAGTGAATTGCTGCTTGAAGTAGGGGTATACACCTGTGGTACCATCAGAATGCAGTGTGGTGCACCTAAAACCCTTCAGATGCAAAGGTGCACTTTACCCTTCAGGGTAAAGTACCAGTAGATACAACTATATTCAAACGTAAGGACAATACTTTCATAATTTTGTGGAAGGATAAGCGAGTTGTTTCACTCCTAACAACTTGCCACAATGCAGAAACACAACAGGTTGAACGTAGAAAACGAGTACGGAATCATGATGGAACATCCTCAGTGCAACAGGTAACTGTCAACAAGCCGAATGCAATCTGTGACTACAATACAAACATGAAAGGTGTTGATTACTTTGGCTAAATGGTCAAATATTATCACTTCACAAGGAAAAGTCACATATGGACTAGGAAAATTACCTTCTATTTTTTGCAAATGGCTATACATAATGCTTATGCATTGTACAAAGACTACACCACAGATAAAAGGAAACTGACATTACTCCATTTCCACGAACAAGTCATTTTGGCACTACTGTTCTTTAAGCCTAGTAAATGGCCTCAGGAAAATGATGACATTCCACATGCTGCTGATGTCAGTGCCGCTGGAGCCAATGTTGCAACACCCGGACCTTC